ATATAATTAGATTCACCTCATTATATTTCTACAACCCAACCAAATAATTTTCTCAAATCTTATATTTGACTCCACACTAAAAGGAGAGTAGTTTCTTCTGACGCAAAAAGAGAGAGTGAGAAAGAGGTGAAGCAGAGAACGAGTGAGACCGAAAAGGAGAGAGGCGAAGCAGAGGTATGTTCTCTGCTTTTTTTTTTGTTTGCAATGGCAGTATGATGAGAGATGTGATGTTGAAATTAGGTTTAGTTTTATGACCTTCAAGTTGATTTAAGTGGATAGGGTTAGGTGGACTGGGCTGAGCTTAGGTAATTTATTTTAGTTAAAATAGCTTCAGTTAAATTTGTTTGGTTGAATTAGCTTTAGTTAATTTGCTTTGGATTTTAATTTATGTATTTTACTCGTAAATTTTTAATTGCATTTTTTTGTAGATGGACTCTTATTACTGCGGGACTTTTACAAATCTTCTTAGTGACGATTCGTCGTTGTATGATAAATGCTATAATTTGAATCCAATCGTAGAAACCGAAAATATTTTATTTGCTCTGCGTAAATAAACAAAGTCAACGAAGTTATCAAAAATCGACGAATTTGACAACCGATGAAGATGTTTGTATTACCTCAATATGGCTATATACAAGCAAAGATGCCATTCACTGAACCGATCAAAATGCAACAACATTTTGGGGGAGGATTTATGATGAATTCATAATTAATATGGGTCAAAGCAGACACACCGAACAAAGCATAAAAAATCATTGGCAAAATATTAATGCTCAGTGTGCAAAGTTCATTGCTTATCTTAATCAAATTAACAATCGACATCAATCCGGTCACACGGATTATGATAGGGAAACAATTGGTGCTCTTAAATATTGTTTTTAAATATTGTTGACCACATTTGGTGCTTTTAAATATTGTTCACAAAAAAAAGCAACAATTGCTTTTACAAAAGGGGCCTTAAGACCACACACAAAATATAAAATTTGGACCAAATAATATTTAAATTGCGTTTATCATTTTTTATTATGCATTTAACATTTTCATTTTGCATCGAACATTTTTTTATTATTTTTTTTACGTACAACACATTACTCTTTTTTTTTTGTTTATTCATTTTCGTACTTTTTCAGTATTTTAGGAATCTATTTTTTTCCATTATTATCTACTTAATATTGAAAATTATGAATTAAAAAAAAAAATCGGTCTCAGTCATGTATAGACACCCATAGGAAACGGTAGTAATCCGTAGTAACCCGTAATAATCCATAGATATATTCTTGAAATCCTAACTTCTCCTTTTAACCCTAGCCGCCAGACGCTCTTAGTAACCCATAGACATCAAATCGAAAAATCTTGGATCCATCCCAGAAAACCTAAGATCCACCCACCAAACCCTAAATTCGTGACGCCAAAGACCACCCACCCCCATCCACGCCTCTAAGGATACCACCCACCCCACCCACGCCGCCATCACCTACCCCAGCAGCATCACCGCACCACCAACACCATTCTCGAACTCCGAGCGCCGCCGCTGGGCCAGCGTCACCCTCGAACTCCGTTATTGCCATAACCACCCCCACCATAACCCACCACCACTCATCTATTTGGACTCATCTCTTCCCAAAAACGATGCCGCCTCCGCTACGCACTCCATCGCTGCTTCAGATCCACCACCGTCACCATAGATCCGACGCGCCACCCCTACCCACTCCGTCGGCGCCTTCAGATCCATCGTCACAATAGATTCACCGTAGCCGCCGCCTTAAGATTCAATTATGCCCACTCCGCCGCCGCCTTCTCGTTCGCCGCCACCCCTGTTTTCTTCTCCAAGCATATGGCGCAACTGATTCGTGAGCCCAAACAAAAAACTAGTCCAGAGCGATAGAGAGAGGGAGAGAAAAAGAGAAAAAAAAAAGAGAGAAAGAAAGCGATGGAGAGAGAGGGAGAGAAAAAGAGAGAAAGAAAGAGACGAGAGATGGAGGGGAGAGAGAGAAAGAATGAGGTCAGAAGAAATAGAAATAAATTTAATTCAAAATACGTGAATGAATATGTAGATTAAAATATTTAGGTTATAAGGGTAATGTAGGGATAAAAATAATTAATGATGTACGTCACATATTGTTAAATTAATTAAGGATTTAATTAAAATATTGGATTTGAACTTGTTATTTAGTTCAAATTAAGTTTCATTTGAGGGGCTCCTAGCATATTACCCCTTTACAAATTGGCGTAAACTCTCAATAGCAGTGCTTTCACCTATGGGTATGTTGTTATCCAGTAAATCGGCAGGAACTCCATAAGCAAATATTCTATATGCAACAATTACTTTTTGAAGACTTGATAAACCAGGGACCCCTGCTGCATTATTTATTTGGATGAAATAGTGATCGTATGCTTCGACATTGGAAATAATTATACAAAATAGAGGTTTGTACATACGAAACCTTCTCCTGAAATAAACATCATGATATACAAGATTATTAGCGAAATAATCACGATAAAGTCTATTATGACCTTCAACGCTGTTGCGATGAATAACCCTTCTACCCGGAACTGAACTACGACGACGCTTGCGTTGTCTTTCTTTCTCAACTCCTCCTCTTCCATTGCTTCTAAGAGCATTTCAAGATCATCTGAATCAGAGTCGGGTAAGAAAGCATATAGAACGGCAGAATCACGATGCATCATGAAATAAATAGAGAAAATATGATAAAAATTATGAATGATCTGTGAAGGAATGTGAGTTTTTAAAGATCCAATTTAGAAAATAAAATCTTATCGAAAATCTTGACAATGAATCATAAGTAGACACGTGGCCACCAAAATATTATAGATATGAAATTTTATCGGAAATATGTATTTAAATTGGTTGAATTGGATAAATTAATATATTTAAAAGTGATGATGCATTTGATGTTTTATTGTTCGAGTGGAAAACTTTTATTCAGTAACTAAAACACTGTATTCATTTTTTTATTACCATTGTTGGAGTTGCCCTACCATCACTAATAATTTAACTATTATCCTACAAATAACCCAAAAAAAAAAAGTACTTGGGAACACAATATAATGAAATAAATAATATATGTAATTTTAAAAAATAATTAATTAAAATTTAAGCAAATAACTTACTAACTTGAAATTAGTACACGATTACTAGCACCAAAAATCTCTCTCAAAAGTTGCAGCAAGAGGAAAGCCTTTCCCACAATACACTAAACCCTGACACACTCAAAACCAAAACAATAAATTAATATTTTACCAACACATTCGAGTTAATCCTGTTAATCATATGTTTCCAACAATAAATTTATTTCTACAAATAAATAAATCATGTTTACCTCGAGTTAATGCTAGCACCAAAAATCTCCCGCGAGACACCTACGAATTCAAATTTTGAAAACCCTAATACACTTAAAAACACAAAGTAGATCAAACTACGAATTAGCATTTTGTCAAACACATTAAAAAATACAAACAATTTAAACATTATTCTAGAAATAACAAAGAACAAAAAAATCACACTTACCTCAAATTATTGCTGGCACGAAAATCTCTCATAACACACCACAATTTTCGAAATTTGTAAACCCTAACACACTCAAAACCAAACTACAATTAACATTTTCCCAAAGACGTTCAGAATTATAAACAATTTAAAAATGAAAATCACATTTACCTCGAATAATGCTACCACCAAAAACCTCCCATAATACACACATTTTTCGAATTCAAGCTACAATTGTAAAGTGTAAATAATAATAATAAAAAAAAAACAGTGTTAGTAAATAATACAAATAAAAATTAAATGAAAGTTAAAAACCGTCACAAAAAAAATATAACAAAAAAATACATGTTGAGGAATTCCAAAATTATGAGAAACTATCTACATAAATAAAAAAAAACAAGAAATTATTAGCAATTGATGAAAAAAAAAACTATGAAAAGAAGGAAAAAAAATTATCTGTTGGACAAAATAGAAAGTGGACGAAAAGTAGGCTACATGCCTCCTTTTAATGGAACAATTCCAATATTCATCTCAGCCCTTGAAATTAAATCAACGGTTGCCATAACACAATCTTCGAAAAAATATGTCATTCAATAAAGTGGGCCTATGGTGCACGGACACGGATACGTGGACACGGCGATACACGGATACGGACACGGTGATACGGCATTTCCAAAAAACTAGGATACGGACACGTGGGGGATACGCGTAAATATAAAAAATATAGGGGTATATTTATAAATAATAAAAATATAGGGGTACATTTATAAATTGTAAAAAATATGTATAAGTCGTCATCGCATAAGAGAACCACTCGCCCTTGTTGCTCGTGTTCTTGATCGCCGTCGCATGCTAGACTTTTGGAGTTTTTGGTGGACTCACAAAGAAAACAGAGGAAATGTGTATTACAGAGAAAAGAAAATGCGTATTTTTTTTTTATTAGAGCTCTCCTTTACAACGTAAGAGAAGTGTCCCAACTTTTTTAAAATTGTGGACACTGCCTGATACGGGTGTCCTACTTTTAGCGAAATTACGACACGGCCCGACACGGGTGTCCAAGAAGTGTCCGGGAGTATCCGAGTATCCAGGTATCGGATACGGGGACTCTTCAACTTCTAGAAGTGTCCGTGCAACATAGAAGTGGGCAGGTCAAAAGTAGATCTCTGTACCTGTACGTTTCCCCATCTGTTTGGATTCAAACCGACGGCTCGAATGAAGGCTTGTGAAGCAAAAATTCCTGACACGTGGTGGATTCTTATGACGCGCTATTTTAAACTGTGCAATGTAGTAAATCCGAAACAATCACCCTAGTTACCCTATTTCTCAAATAAATTAGTCAATTGCATTTGATGATTGTATACTGGACCGTTAATCAATACCACGTTTGGATCTCGTGTCAAACACTGAACTAGAGGTGACTAAATAGTCTATCATAGCTTATCCACCAAACCAAACGTGTCCTAAAGATTAAAATGAGTAATATATAACAGCCGTATTTTCTTTTTGCCATTTATATGGAAGAGGGTATCTTCCGACTTTTCCCGCTGCCCGACACTCTCTACACCAAAATTTCTTCTGCGAAAATGCGTTCCCAATTCATTTTCTCGCTATCAATCTGTGTACTATGTCCGTTTCTCTTGATCGACGCTCGAATTTTCAGTCTCGAAATGCACCACCGATTTTCCGATCCAATGAAGGAGTGGTCCCGCCGGAGCAGAACCAACTCTCAGGTTCACAATTGGCCGGAAAAGGGGACCATCGAGTACTACGCGCTTCTGGCGAGCCACGACCACGCGCTTCATCGCCGGACTTTGTCGACCCTTGATGGTGGTGGTGCCCTCACTTTCTCCGACGGCAATGCCACTTTCCGAATCAGCTCTTTAGGATTGTAAGACAACTGATTAATTAGAGAAAAAAAATTAGGGTTTGGTTTCACTGAATTGAAATACTGAGGGCTTCAATTGGAATTTTGATAAATTTATTGAAATCTCTTGACTCTATGATCTCAACTGTTTTTTTTTTGCTGCTTTAATTTTTGCTGTTTCGAACTGCGTATTGATTATTTAATTTATACATGGAGATTGCTGTAGTTTGCACTACACAACGGTCATGTTGGGAACTCCCGGGATGAAGTTTCTCGTGGCGCTTGATACAGGGAGTGATTTGTTTTGGGTTCCCTGCCATTGTGTGAAATGCGCGTCTACGATTGATTCCCCTTATACGTATGTATGTACCTTCTACGAATGATCTGGTTTTCGGATTTGACATAGCCTGCGTTACTGTTATTCGTGTTTTCGATTTTACATTAAACCTATTTATTTTACGTGTACCTAGTTGTGTTCAATGCAATCTCTTATTACACTTAGGTAAGTCTTGTTTTTCGTTGTTGTATCTAGTGATAAATTTTTAACTGATTTTCTTTGGCGTCGCAGGATTTTGGGCTTAGTATATATGATCAAGAAAGATCATCTACGAGCAAAAATGTCACATGCAATAATGACCTGTGCACGTATTACGATAGCTGCAATGATGCATCTAGTCTTTGCCCTTACTATGTTTCTTATGTCTCATCAGAAACTTCGACTTCTGGAATTCTGTTGGAAGATGTCCTGCACTTACGGACCTTAGATAATGATCAGGAGTTTATACAAGCATATGTTACGTTTGGGTGAGTTCCTAAACTCTCTATTTATATTACTGACGTATTCTAGGTTTCCCGTGTTTATTGGCTCCTTAATTTATTGCATATTGTCCTAAAATTTGACAAACTATGTAATTTTTACTCTAGCTGTAGAAGTATGGCTTTTAGATTGTAATTCCTTATAATTCAATTTCAACTATGACCTATGAGTATAACCAGTAACTGCAAACTTTCAAGTTATTTGCTGCAGTTGATGCTTATTATGAAATTTCGACTTGCGGAATATACATTAAGGATATCCTATACTTAGAAAGAAAATAATGTTGGATTGTTTTGGGCATGTCTCACTAATAAGAAAGTTGATTAAAGTTCCAGCAGGAATGCAACATATTGTATATAACTTGAAGGCTAGAATTATTATATGATCTGGTCTGATCTGATTGATGGGAGGGAATGATTTATGGGATTGTTACATGATCTGTGTATCAGAATAGGATCTGCAATGATGATGCTTTTACTTTCAGTTGATTTTGTGGTTATAGGTATTAGTCAAACCTTCGTAGACTACCTTGTACGTATTGATCGGAAGTGTATTAGTCATTTTCATGCACAAACCGAAGGAGTCTCATCTTCAAGCTGTTTATAAAGTTCTTAAGTATCTGAAGTCATCTCACGTGAAAAGGATTCCCTACCAAACAGCGTTGAACTTTAGAACTTGAAGACTATTGGATGTAGATTATGCGTCAACTGTAGGTTATAGGTTAAAGACTTTGAAGATTAAAATTGGGGTTGGGGAGTGGGGGGGTGTGGACAGGTCATGATCATTTATGGAAAGTAAATAAAGTTGGATTGTTCTGCAGTCATTATATTTCAACTGGATTACATGATCATTTGATAGTCAGAGAACATTGATTTTTGGGATTGTTACATGGTTTCCATATTAAAATAGGATTTGCAGTGATTGCTTTTATTTACAGTTGATGTTGTAACTATAGACATTGTCAACCTTTCTAGATAGTAGCTTCCTAGTAGAGATTGATCAGAATTCAGAACTGTATATATGTCTCTGTTATACTCCATTACAGAAATATGCAACGAAGGATGATTTCGCTATTTATGGAAAGTCCTGTATTTAGTAAGGCTTAATAAAAAGCCTAACATTTTGTGGGAAAATACTTATTTTGACTTTAATTGTATCAACTCAACAACATATGATTTTTTTGGATATTTGAATTCACAAATAAGGCTTGAATTCCTCATTACTTTATCGTTTGCTTTGGGCAGCTGTGGACAGGTCCAAACTGGTTCGTTCATTGATATCGCAGCTCCAAATGGTCTATTTGGATTAGGTTTTGAGAAAGTATCAGTTCCGAGTGTTTTGTTCAGAGAAGGTTATGCAGCAAACTCTTTCTCCATGTGCTTTGGACAAGATGGGAAAGGGAGGATTAATTTTGGAGACAAGGGTAGCCTTGACCAAGAAGAGACCCCCTTTAATATGAACTCTTTACAGTGAGTTTAGAAGGTTTCTCGGTTTTTACATTACATTTTTTGTTGTCTCTAATGATATTGGCTTTGCAGCCCAACCTATAACGTTAATGTCAATCAAGTTCGTGTGGGGACCACTGTACTCGATTTGAAGTTCACTGCAGTTTTTGATACCGGCACCTCCTTTACGTATCTTGTTGACCCTTCATACACAATGCTTTCAGACAGTGTAAGCCCTCCTCAGATGGCAGATTCTATATCTATCTTAGATATATGTTCAATCTTATAATGTTCGAATTTTCTGCAAGTTCCATTTACATGTACGGGATAAGCGGCGTCCACCTGATCCAAGAATGCCTTTTGAGTACTGTTATATTATGAGGTTAGAGCTAAATTTGTGCTTAGTTTCTCATGTTCTTCGATAATTATTCTTGATTATCCCGTTTTCTCTGGATTTTGTATAGCTCCAACACAAGCACCAGTTTGATTCCTGGTATGAGCCTGACACTAGATGGGGGAGGACAGATGGTTGTATATGATCCAATAATTGTTATCTCTAATCCGGTAAGATAAACAAATGCTTGCTTATTTGACGCATTTTCTTCCACGTAGATGCTTTTTTCTCCTGCTTCTCAACGGGGTTTTCTGGTTATAATTTGCAGCATGAGTTTGTATATTGTCTGGCTATTGTCAAGAGTCAAGAACTCAATATAATTGGGCGTAAGTTTCCTGTCTTTTCCATAGGATTAAAGAACTCAATATAATTGGGTGTTGGTTGAAATTGATTATCTCGCAGTCTTATTTTTTTAATGTCATGGACTCATGGTCGTCAATATTCGACTCCGGAAATTGCTTTTGTAAATCGATATTTAACACTTAACCTGTAAACTTAAAACTTTAGGCTTTCGATGACTTTGTATGGCATCTAAATTATCTGATGCAGAAAAATTATCCTCGGTATAACACTGTCAAGTTTATTACATAATTTAGAATATAACTGAAGTATTGACTTCCAAGGAAGACGCACACTTCAAATCATTGACCTTGAACCTCGTGCAGGGGGGAAGTATAAAAGCGATTAGTTTGTGCTTTAATAATGTATCTATCTTCTTGTACACTCGCTAAGTTTTACTTGATCTTACGAGCTTGAAATAAAGGAACTAGGCATCCTATTACTTCTGTTTGAGATAGACACTAATCCTTCCTTGTGCAGAAAATTTCATGACCGGCTACCGCATTGTGTTTGATCGGGAAAAACTCGTCCTTGGTTGGAAGAAATTCGACTGTAAGTATTGTTTGAGTAAATAATTTGCTGATTATAATTTAGTTAGTAAAGAAATCACTCTAATGCAGGCTACGGCATCGATGACAATTCCAAAGCATTGGGACCTAAACCTGTAAACTATGCCAGTATGCCACCTCTACCTGATAACTACACTCGATCCAACGAACCGAACAGAAATACTGCTCCAAAATTATTTGCATCTTCATTGTACATACACTCTATACTTGATCTGATTCATTCCCTTTTAATATCTCTCGTCTTAGCTTTTCAATGGCTATAACCAATATACCGTCCTTTAGTTTCCCGTAAAAGTGACAGGCTGGAAGTTTTGCATAGGATTGGCCGTTGGCCTGGTTGTATCAGAACTCCGAGAGATGGATGATTGAATGTAAAGACATATTCGGAAGGGCATATATGTTAGTTCAGAAAAAAAAGGTACGAGTTTTTTGTTTGAAAATGATATTTCATCGTTTATTTTTTCTTCCATCATCGTTCATGTCATGTGTACGTAAAATAATATACAGAGATGAATAATTGCTGTGCAATATTTAGCTCTCTGGGTTTGTTAAAACTGAAATTCGTAACGGATAAGCCAAGTATGAAACAAGACTTTTCGATTAGTAACTCAACAAACAAAAGAAAAAAAAAAAGAATGAAACGAGGAGTCTGTTACAATCACGAGACACACTAGGAATTCTTTCGGAGTAATTTTATCGTACCATGAGTATAATTAGAGCTGATAGAAACGAAAAAAATATATAAGAAAATCAGAACCGTCAATTATTGATGAGAAGTAGCTGGCGAGCTCGAACAGTAATCTGAAGGCGGGCGAGCGCTTGCATGCAGTGCAGAGCTATGCGCGCCTGTCTTCTCACTACCACCCCACGAACAAGCGCTTGCAGCTTCACCAGACTTCTCAACGCCCTATAAGCCCTTCTCGCCTACACAATATACACGATCCATACATAAATCAATATCTACAATATATATATCTAAATACCGAAAAAAAAAGAAAAAGAAAAAGAAAATTATAATATAGATAGTGAAGTAGTAGAAGAATATACAAGGTGACCCCTAAAGAATGTTTGAATTGTGATGGCGGCCATGTCTTCGGTGTACATGAAATGTGAAGCGGCATTGTCGGTGTCTTCGTAGGCGCTGCTGTTGAAGCTGCTTCCACTAATGTTGGTGTGGAGAACGATAATTGCGTTGCTTTCTTGGTGGTTATGATGATGAGATGACGATCGGAAAAGCTTTCTTCGGATGAATCCCCACCGTAGATTTCCTTTGCTCCGCCCCATTTTTTGTTTCGAATATTGAATATTGAATTTTGGGATTATTAACAATGGAAAAGAGAATGGAATTTGGAGGTGTGGGGAGTTGAGATATGATGAGGGGCAAAGGAGGTTAAGTGTGTGTGGGTGACATGTTATTTGATTAGAGAGGAAGGCCTCTCACAACGTGCCAAGCTGAATGGGATTTCTTTATTGGATGAGATGTACTTACTCGAATCTTTGTCTACCAATCTTTGTCTACCAATCTTGATTTAGTATATGGCAATCAATTTGGAAATTCATTAGTTTTTACAGTTTATTTTCCGTTTGCCATGTTTTTATTTAGTGACGAGTTCGATTTGGTCATCTGTTGAGCTCGTATAAATATTTGGGCTTGGAGTCTATTGGTGAACCGTGATCCAATAATATTATTTTTAATGGGCTCAGTTTTAGGTCAAATCCCTAGAATCTTGTTTCCTTTGAAAGACTCCAGGTATTTTCTATAAGGGGCTATATGCCAAACACCCTTCATTGGGATTTTAATTCTTGATAAATCATTTATTTATAAATGATATTTAAGATAAAATAATATTAATTAAAATATTTAAAAAAAAATCAATTAGTAGCTAAATTACTGTCTCCGACAGTTAAATAACTGCCGGAGACAGTAATTTAGCAGTCAAGACAGTAATATTAATTAAAATATTTTTGAAGAAAAAAAAAGTGAATTAACAGTTAAATTACTGTCTCCGCAGTTAAATAACTGTTGGAGACAGTAATTTAGTAGCCAATACAGTAATATTAATTAAAATATTTTTTTAAGAAAAAACAAAGTTATCAAAAAAAAAAGTCATTGCTGGAGACCCGGCGGTCAACGGCGGTTGACCTACTGGAAAAAAAAATTCAAAAAAAAAAGTAAAAAAAAAAAAAAAAAACGCCGGAGACCGGTGGTGGCGGGTCAAAATTAAAATTAGGGTTAAAATTGGTTAATTGATGAAATTGGGCTAAATTGTGGTGTAAATCATGAAATTGGAGTTGAATTGAGTTTCAATGAATTGGGGGTAATTTTGGTATATATAAAAGTATTTTCCTTTGTTGCAAATAAGTTTGAATGAGCTGGATTTATTTGAAAGACGAAAAAGTTGGATGTCCCTATTTTAATTAAGTGCCATTGTCAAGAGCATATTTGCCATTTACACTTAATTTAAAAGAAATATTGAATTTTCATTTTTTTTTTAATTTTGAAAAAATTCTCAATTGTAATTCAATCTTCGCAACTTCCATTTTATTTAGTTTATGTCTCAAGGTCTTAATCGTTTCATATTTTCTAACATTGTTTTGTCTTTAAATTCAATTTTTTATTTATTTTGAATTTAAAGTTAATCTCATGTTTTTGGGTAAATACATATAAATCCCCAAACACAAACTAAAAGTGCGGATCAGTCCCTACAGACGTTTAATAGGCATATCAGTCCCTAATGCAAAGTTTCACATGCAGTTCAGTCACTAGAGGCAAGTGAAAATTCTAAAATACCCTTTACTTTAATCTGGAATAACATATTTTTTTATTTTCTTTCTCTTCCTTTTCTCTCTCTTTCATCTTTCCTCTTTTTCTATGTCTCTTCTCTCTCTCCTTTTCTTGCCCGTTCCAATTCAATTTCTGTTATTTTTCTTCAAACAATAAACGAAAATGAACACGAAAAGGCGCTAGAAAACAAACTCCTAAATCAATACAAATGATGCAACAAGAACAAAGAAAAGGAAGAACCAAAGTAGTAGAAGAAGAAAAAAAACAAAAAGAAAAGAGGAAAGAGACTAATTTTCGAAGAATGGTGAATGAGAAGAAATAAGATTTGATTTGTTTCCCCTAATCATTAAATCGGTTCCAATATCTGTTGTTTTGCTGTTCGAGTTTGCAAAGATCATTTATTTATTGTCGATTTTGAACACTTCCTCCCCTGAGTATTATTCTTCGGCGATATTACCATGTTCCCAAAGCATTTTTAGTCCTAGCAAGGATTTGATGTATGATGTTTGATGACTTTGATATAGGGAATGGGAAAAAAGTTTATTGTATTATTCTTGGTGATTTTGTAGTATATGCCATATGCAATAATGGTATTCCTAGTGCATTTGGATCTTGTTGAAACATAGTATTGGAATTACTAGTAGTGGAACTTTATAGTACGTTGTATTTGTTATAATTGTAATTATGTGTATGTAGTTGCAGGAATATGTTCTTTGCTTTAGAGCTAACAATACTATTGGTCACCTCTACTCATACTTTTATATTGAAAACATTGTACCATGTATTTTGATGAATTGCACTTATTTTTTGAACACGTGGTACTATATTTTGTTATGAATTGAGTTTATATGGTTGACTTGGCCACAAATTAATATAAATAATATAACCGTACCATACTAATGAACAACTACTTTCTAGTTTTTTTTTTCTCAAAAAAAAAAAAAAATAAAAAAAAAAGAAGATATCGTGTCAATTCTAGACATGTATTTCACATGTGTATTCACTGTACTTCGGTGTTTCATACATCGGACTATAGTTTGTGATGAATTGAGTTGTACCAATTTCCTTGACACTTTAATGATCAATTAGTATGGGAGATGCATAAATTATGTTTTAGATGTGTATTTTAAGGTTGGTGAGCCTTATTGTTGCGTTTGGAGTACAAAATGCCATAAATATGTTGAAATTCATATATCATACTCATATAAGTGTACAAGTTACCATAAATGTGTTGGATTTGTTACATGATACTCATATAAGTGTAGTGTATAAGGCTCATGTGTAGAGCTAATATTTTCCTCAAATATTGCCATAATCTATGTTGATCAACTCCTACACCATCTCATTTCAAGTTAACAGTCTAAAAATGAAGAAATGCTTCTTAAAATAATATTATATGGATGCATTGGTCCCACAATAATGTAAAGAATATAACAGTACAATATGAATGGACAACATATACTTTATGAATAAACTCACAATACTATATGCATGGATAATTCTAACTTTACCAGTTTATACATTGTATTTACTTGTGGAACAAAACATACTATATTTTGTGATGAATTGAGTTGCACCAATTTCCTTGACAATTTAATGGTGAATTAGTATGGGAGATGCATAAATTATGTTTTAGATGAGTTAAGTTTGGTGAACATTGGTGTTACGTTTGGAGTCCACAAATATATTTGATTTCCTACATGATATTCACATATAGTACAAGGTTTGTATGTAGAACTGAAATTTTTCTCAAATGTTACCATAATTGATGTTGATGGATTCCCACGTTATCTCATTTCATGTAATTAGTAATAAAATGAAGGAATGCCTCGTAAAATGAGTTTATATTTTTGCATTGGTCCCAAACTAATATCTATAAAGCAAGTGTACCATATAAACAGAGAACATCTACTTTTTCATTGAAATAAGCGTACTCTATGAATGGACAACACGTGCATCACCGGTGTAATGCATTCATTTTTATGTAGAATAAATTATACCATAATTATAATGAATTGAATTGTACCAATTTCATAATAAATTTAATGATTAGTGAGTGTGGGAGGGACATAAAATATATTTTAAATGACTATTTTAAGATTGATGAACAATGGTGTTGCGTTTAGAGTTCAAAATGCCACAAAATGCCGACATGATACTCACTTAGACAACACGTACTTCACCACTGAACCAAATATACTTGATTCTAGACGTAAGTGTACTATGTTGACGCATTTATTTGTACTACATGATGAGCAATACTAGTACTTTTCATCTCTTATTTCAACACGATCCAATCACACTAGCAATAGAATTGTTTAATACGACATATACTACTGCAGTCACATAAAACACAAAATGTTTCAAAAAATAACACGAGAAGCGGTTTTGCCAGATCCTATATCAAACCATCAAACATCTTCTAAATATGTGGCTAGATATAAAAAAAAAATCTCGTTTCTTCCCCTTCACAATTTTTCGAAAATGGGTTTCTTTCCTCTGTTCATTTTGTTTTGTTCACTAGTTTTTTCTTGCGTCTTTTCGTTTGTTGTTTGAAGAAAAATAACTAAAAATTGAGTTTTGAATTGGAACGGGCAAGAAAAGAAAAGAGAGAGAAAAAGAGGAAAGAGGAAAGAGAAAACTAAGAAAAAAGGAAGAGAGATAAAAATTAAATGAAGAGAGAGAGAGGTAAAAAAAAATAATATAAAATTGCAAACATAGGGATTGAACTGCATGTGAAACTCTGCAGTAGGGACTGATCCGCCTATAAAATGTCTGTAGAAACTGATCTGCGCTTTAAGTTTGTATTTGCGGATTTATCTGTACTTATCCCCATGTTTTTTCAATTTTCGATTTAAGTTTTTTATGTTTTCTTTCTTGTAATTATTTGGAAAAAAAATAAATGAAAATTGGTTTGGACCTGACCTGCCCGGCCTGGATGAACCCGCCCTAGACCCGAACACGCCTTCCCACGGGTCGGTTTCGGGTCACCTAAAAGTTGGACCCGGATCCGCTGGGTCCGACCCAAACCCAACCCGCCCCATGACCCTGTATACATGGATGTGTGTAAATAATTATCTCATTTTTGTTTTACTGGGTGTAGAATCAAATAAACCCTACATGTCCATTTAATTTCATTTTGGTTTAATCTTCAAAATTATATATTTAACAATTTCACATCAAAAATCAAAGTGGGACCCACACAAAGGAAAAGAGAGGCAATAAAATAAAAGATGAATAGGAAGCAGCAATAATAAAAACTTTAGAAGAAAATGCAAAGAAGAGAGAATAAATGATGAAGAATCCCAAAATATATTGCAAAATCCAATGTCAGCAGCAGTGTACGTTGTACAATAATATTCCACGACCAGCCAATCCCAGTTTAGCTGCCAAAAAAGATGTGAACACAGCCCAACACAGGATTCCCAAATCCAAAAGAAGAGAGAGAAACAGGAAAGATAAGTGGGTCCCACAACATAGGAAAATTCCTCCTCTTTTGGACTTTTAGAGAGAGAGAGAGAGACTTTTAGATAGAAAGAGAGACTTCTTTTTTTGCTCAAAAAGTAAAATCTAAATATATATTAAAAAGATTCATAACTACCATTTCTCTACATTCCTGAAATGTATGTCAAAATGGAGCTGTTGAAGTTCGATGGAGAGAAGACTTCTTTTTCTGATTTTGAGCTGCTGCCGCCGCCGCCGCTATATATAACTGCCACATTTTTAAATCAGTGTTGGTTGTATGTATCTATGTATGTATGTATGCAACTACTATACATATATCTATCTATATACATATATGGCAAGAATTTTAGTGAGTCAAATTGTTGTTGTATGCAAATAATGTCAAAAGGACAAGAAAAAAACATGTGTGGTGATATATCAGTTTATTACCAAAAACAGGGCGGTGAGAGACAAACCAAATTCTCTAACAATACTTGCACTAAATTGAGCAAACATTATATTTCTTTTTAATTATATAAAAAAAAGAAGAAAAAAACACAGTCACACACTCACGCAGAGACAGACACACCTTTTCTTGTTGTTCTTTGAGCTTGGCGTTCTCTTCCAACAATTGGGCTACTTCTAACTCTAACTCAATCGTGTAAGCCTGCAAATTAAATAATATGAAAAGAAAAAAAAAATTGAAGTGACATTAAATTAAATAATTAAGTATTGAACTGGGTTCGGAGTTCGGACAAGAGCTTATCATAGTGTTTTTTGGTTGTCATAAAACTCTCTCTCTAGAATTCTCTCTCTCTCTCTCTCCCTCTCTCTCTCTCTCCTCTCTCTCTCTCTCTCTTTATATATATATATATATAAAAAAAGCTGAGCTGAAAAGAAGTTGATGGAGGAAAAAGGGTTGCCTGCTTTCTAGCCCTGGACCGAGCAGCAGACTCGCGGTTCTTGATCATACGCTTGTGGCGGCGGTCGCCGGAGCCTTTCTCGAGTTCCGGGAACCTCTTCTTCCCGGCGGCGGCGGTTTCAGCACCACCGAAGGACACGTTGACGGAGGTGACATTGGAAATGGGCTGCTGGTGCTGGTGGTGGTCCTCATGCTGCAGAAGCAGGGAGCTGAAGTGATCGTCGGGAACGGAGTTCAAGGTGAGCATTGTGGGCGGTGGGAGCGGCGGAGGCTGCGGGGGTTGGGAGACGGAGTTCGTCGGCGGCGGCGGATCGTTGGAGAAGAAGTCCTGGAGAATCACGCCGCGGCTGGTAGGGTACTGGCGGTGGTGGTGGTGGTGGTTGTGGTGGTGATTGGTGAGATCGGAGGTGATGTTGAAGCTGATGTCTTTCCAAACTTCTTCCATAGTCTTCGCCGGAGTTGTCGGATTATTATTATTATTATTATTACTGTAAGAAGAAGAAGAGGAAGAGGAAGAAGAAGAAGATTTCCACATTTGGAGGAGGAGCAGTTGAATGGGGCATGGGAAAAAGATTTGTTGGGAATACAATAATTAATATATATTTCTTTTATTTTTTATTTTATTTTATACATATATAAATTAAAATAATAAAATAGTTATTATTATGAAGAAGAGAAGCTTCAAGAAAGCATAAGGCACACACAGTGAGAGTGTAATGGGATTCTTGTAAAAATATATATTTATTTTCTGTTCACGGAAGGGAGGGAAGAAAGAGAGAGAGAGAGAGAGAGAGAGAGAGAGAGAGACTGTCAAAAAAATGTGTGCATTGTCTTGTCGAAGTGATGCAAACACAGTCGTCCCACGCGTCCGTAGAGTGGACACAGTTCATCATCTCTTGTTTGATAAATCATAACAATCAAATTTTACATATCTAGCTTCCACCCCCACCCCACCCCCACCCACCCCAAGCCACCCTACGCCTCACTATATAGGTATAGATTTTGTTCATCACCCTACCCCATATACTACGGATTTTAAATGTCGACAAAATATTTATTGTTGCACACACTTTTTAATATACCTAATTTTTCAAATACTCAAATCATGGTTTGTGGATTAAAGTCTTAATGTTGGATGTATTCTCACTATCAATTAACACGATATTTTCTGTTGTCCAATTGGCTTGGTTGACCCATCGAGAGGGCTTCGCCAATGCGATCCCCTTTCCCCGTATCTATTCATTTGCTGTGCAGAAGCATTTATTGCAATGATTCAAAAGGCAACTGAGTACGGCAAATTAAAACGTGTACAGGTCGCGCCATCGGCCCCGGTTATTTCCAATCTCTGCTTTGCCGATGATACTTTTATTTTATGCCAAGCAACGGAGGCGAATGCTACCACTCTTCAAACCATTTTGAATAAATACGCAAGAACTTCTGGGCAAGTGATCAATTTTGAAAAATCAACGATGACTTTCTGCCCAACGACTACACAGGAGAGACGAGACGCAATTCAGCAAATCTTGGGGTTTCAAATTGTTGATCGACACGAAAAGTATTTGGGTATGCCCGCTAACATGGGCCGATCGAGGAAAGATATTTTTGCTTTTCTCCGGGATAGGATCTGGTACAAAATCAAAGGATGGGGCGAGAAGCAACTTTCACAAGCCGGGAAAGAGGTTTTAATCAAGGCAGTCTTGCAAGCGATCCCATCATATATTATGAGTTGTTTCTTGCTTCCGGATAGTATCCTCAAGGAAATGGAAACAGCTATCAGAAGGTACTGGTGGGGTGATGGTGAGAACCGAAAAATTCACTGGTTAGCGTGGAACCAACTATGCAAATCAAAGGCCGACGGAGGATTAGGTTTTCGGGACATGAAATGGTTCAATATTGCGTTGCTGGCCAAGCAAGTCTGGAGGATCTTGACTCAGCCCCATCTTCTGCTCTCGAAGATTTTGAAAGCTCGCTATTTTCCCCGTTGCGATGTGCTTACGGCTGATATTGGGAGGCGCCCGTCGGCGACATGACGAAGCATATGGATGGCTCGAGATTATTTTTGGCTGGGAATTAGAAGGAGGATTGGTAATGGGCAATCTACTTCTATTTGGGCGGATCCATGGCTCTCCGACGATGGCGCTTTTCAAGTTTTTACAAAAAGGCCGATTTATTCCTCCTTTCCGAACACAGTTTCAGACATGATAGATGCCAATACAGATTCATGGAATATTGCGGCTTTAGAAGAATGGTTATGGCCAATCGACAAGGACATAATATTAGCGGTTCCGGTCGGAGGTTTGACGACAGAGGATAGATGGATATGGCTGGCATTATACTACCGTACCCATGGCAGGTTTACCGTTCGTTCATGCTATCACACTTTGCTCTCTAGATGTCAAACAATTACTGGCGGGCGACCCCCCACTGGGGAATCGACTAGCGGGGTAACTACGATTCATTGGAAACTTGTGTGGAATCTTCCTATCCCTCCTAAGATTCGCATCTTTATTTGGAGAGCCTGCTCTAATATTTTACCAACGAGAGCGGAGTTATATCGGAGGAAAATAGTGGCAGACCCTTTATGTCGACGATGCGGTTATGTGCCGGAGACCTTTCTCCATATTATTAAATGTTTCCACGAATCGCAAGAGATATGGCGTTCACCTGTGTTTTGTAATGGTAACCCACCTCTGTCCACCTGGGTTTGGATGACGCAGCTGCAACAAAGTTTAGAACCCAATACTTTTCACCTAGCAATTATTATCATGTGGAAATTGTGGGATAATTGGAACAAAGTGATGCATGGCGAGGAGGGGAGCCCAACGTCGGAAGTAATAAGCTGGTGTTTTAATTATCTGAATACTTATAAGGCAGCTCAAATTCGAGTCACTGACAGCAAGGAGAATACGCACCCAGCCGTTTGGAAACCACCGGAGCACGGAAAGATTAAAATCAACTTTGATGTCGCATTTCCCAAGGAGAAAGATTACTATGTTCTAGCAAATGTCGCTCGTGATTGGCAAGGAAAATGCCTTTGGTGGCATGCCAAAATAATTCAAGGACGACCCAAGGTTGTCGAAGGAGAAGCCCATGCGGCACTTCATGCAATTTCAAAGGAGCATGAACTTGGCTCATCAGCTGTGACTCTAGAAGGAGATAACCTTCAAATTATGACGGCACTACGGGAACGTAATGCCAGCGAAGCATCGTTTGGAGCCATCATTGATGAATCTTTACGTATTTCTAGTCTTTTTAATTCATGCAATTTTGCTTTTGTCAAGCGTTCGGGAAATCTTCTTGCCCACGCTATTGCTACCACTTCTGATCTTGGTTGTATTGGCGGTAATGTTCTGCCTTTGAACTTGGCTCATATTGCCTAATAAATTTTCAGTTATTCCTCAAAAAAAATTGGCTTGGTTGAGGTCAGATATCCCTTTAAGTACCATTAATTTTTAATAGATTAGATATAAACTGTTGAATTAAAAAGTAATTTTGAGTTTCCTATAAAAATAAATAAAATAATAATTTGAGCAATTATGTATCTACCCTTCTCACTTAAAATTTATTTATTACATTAAAATAAAATAGACTAATATAGAATAGTCTGATTTATTCCTCAATTAATTTATTGTTTTTTTACAATAGTTTTTTTAGGTGATTACGCCAAAATTTGAAAGATAGGCGTTTGAAACAATGAATTCACCTCTACGGACTTTAATAAACTCGATTCTCAAAAGTTCAAAAGTCTCCACTTTTGCTTTTGAGACAATGGATCGAGTTTTCAAAAATAATTCAACAACTAGTCCTTATTTCTCCCTTCTAGTCTCTTCTTCTTTCTTTCTTTCTTTTTTTTTTTTTTTTTTTTTTTTTTTTTTTTTTTTTTTTTATAATATATATAGAAGCATATATATTTGTCGTCTTTTTTTTTTTTTTTCGAAGAAGAAGAAGGACGTTATAAAATTATTCGACCGAACTCCACGGGGTAATTTTGCAAGAATCTCCACTTTTCTACCTTATATACATTGGCTAAAAGAAAGAACACCTTTTCTCCGAGGCTCAAATCAAGGTTCTAATGATAATTTCGATAAAAAGGTCGGCTTGAAAGGCTCAAACGGTTCAAAGAAGGCCCAAATCATATCCCAAATCACTCACTACTCAATACTTCGTATCATAAATTTCCTAAGGTGAGTTTTAAAACCGAACATAGCATGATCTAGCACAAATTAATTCCAAATTTAAGATACAAAACATTCAACTAAAGCAATGCATAAAGTGTGATTCCTAGCAATAATTCGCTTCTAAGTTCCGTTGAATCGAAAGTTAAACAAACATATAATCCTTATCACACAAAACAAGCAATCTCATCATCAAACATTGATCATCTCTCATCATCATAAATCATCGATGCATTCGACTCAAGCATTTTTTTTTTTTTTTTTTTTTTTTTTTTTATATATATTCCAGAAAAACGAGAAAAGCAATAAAACAAATAAAACCTAATGCATGCAAACTAAAGCAAATAAGCACAAAAACATGTTTTTCACCCCCAAACTTAAAATTTGCGTTGCCCTCAACGAAATTAGCACAAAGTTTAAGGATAGAAAACACCTGATTTAGTCGGAGTCGATGTGATCGAGGTGCTCCTCCCTAGCTCTCTCACACTCGTCCTCATTGGGCGGTGGCACTTTTCTTTCCCTTTCCCTTCCCTTTGGAAGATTCTCATCGAATCTCCAATTATTTTGCAGTCATGTGCTGCTTTGGACCCATCTGTGTTTTCACTGTACATAATATACAAAAACCTAAGCAAAGTGATACCATGGGACAACTTGGTAAATACTAAAAATCTCAATAATACGTCTTCTACCACACCCTAAAAAAAACAAGGATAAAAAACCCTACAAGCAAAATAACAGTGTTTTGGAACCTAAAAGTGTATCGGTATAAACGAAAAATTCTCTATCAATAAACTTAAAGGGTAGAATCATAATCATGCAATATCGTGCAATTCGAAGAAAGTAACTGGGTTTCGCAAAATCTAACAACAAAATAGCATTTTTTTAATGCAATTTTAGGTTTTCAAATTGGGTTCAAATAATTTTCAAACCATGCAATTGTTATAAGAACAAGAAATCAATTCTTTAAAACGGGATACTGCCCTTTCGATATAAAACTTGAGAACAATAATGTCGAACGACAATGTCGAAGTTTTGTCTCATATTTCTTCTTTCTTGATCTTCCGGTCTTTCTCGTCGTCGATTTTCTCTCGCGAGAATGCAGAACATTTGATTTGCAGTGATTTCAAAAACAAAAGGAATAAATAATGTTTATGTCCGAAAATGTTTGTAGAAAAGCGTTCAAAAAGTTTGTCGGAACACGTTTATGGAAACTTTTGGGAATAAATATATATGTACGGAAAACGATTTTGGTAAAAACATGTTTTTATGACTAGTAGACTGTTTTTTAAGTGGAAAACAAGGGTAGTTGTGATAATAGTATAAAGTGAGGGACATTTCAAACATTTCAGTTGGGTTAAGAACTAAATGTAAGTGAAACTTAAAAGGAGGGAGTGCAATAATACAAAGTATACTAATGGGGATTAAACCGTATCTGAAACTAGTTGATATGTTTTTATGAGCTAAAACCCTGTTATATTTTATGAACACATTTTTCTGACTTCATTGTTGAAGGCTTTGCACCGGAAAAAAAATCATTCCCAGTGCTTTTCAGGTACTTTCGTGGAGAATTCGATTTCAGGTACTTCTGTATAATACGGCATAGTAGACTACTTGATTAAATTACATTCTAAACATGACAACTGAGAATGCAACGACACAACAAATAATATGTAGAATATTCAATTACATCCTTCGAGCTCAACTACATGGTACAATCACAACATATCAACTTCAGTTGCATCATTTTTTTTCTCCATATTTTTGTACACAACGAATCAACACGAATTAAATCAATACTTATCACCCCTTCGAGAAAAAAAAAAAGCGAGTAACAACCAATTCTAGAAGTACAACACTGCACAAGATGTTAGGTTCGACACTTAAATATCACGTAGTTAAAACATCGGGCATACTAGGAGAATGAGCACCAAGAACTCTACCTCCAAGATCTGGGAAGTTTTCATGTCCGGTCAAAGGACTTAGATTGCCATCAATACCGACTTCCATTGGATACTTTAGAATATGACCTTGCAATAACGTCAATTCATCGTTTGTATAACTCTTCCAATTTTCTTCAGCAACTTCATTCACTCTCTTCACACACTCCATTGTTTCTGGCTCGTTGAAACATTTTTCCACCATTCCAAGGTGTTCGGCCCACAGCGACATTCGATATCCATAGACCTGCAAAATAGTAGTAGTTCAGAAACAAGAGTGAAAAGAGCTAAAAGATCTATATAATTCACACGGCTACAAATAATCACACAATGCAGTAATTAGATGTAATAACTAAATTAGACTCTAAAAGAAAAAGGGAAAAAGTCGTCAAAGTGAACGAACCTGGCCATGTGGATGTTGCTGCTTTTTTGCCCAAGTATGATGAGGCTGATACGCACCCATTGCTAGCTCTGTGTCTTTTGTACCAGCCATTGATCTTTGATTGATATTCGCCGACCCTATAATTACATACTCATCGTCCACTACCATTCCTTTGGCATGCACATAAATCATGAAGCGCTGACACTTGTGTGACTCCGAAATCTGAGACAAGACAAATGCAGAAGTAAGGAGTTTTAGTATATACGAAGTAAAACATTACAGAAAGGTTTAATTCCAAGAAAAATTTGTCCTTTCAAGATTCGAATCCATCTGATACATGGGATGATTCCAAAAAAGGAATAAAACGGTAATCTTATATATAAAATAAAGAAACCAAAAAAGGAATAAAACGGTAATCTTATATATAAAAGAAAGAAACGTTGGGCAACCCTAAAAAACCCTAATGGTATTTCTGTAATTAAATATTTTTAATATTTTTTTCTCTGATAATTTCTAACAACTTTTAACAATTATCAAAATTGAAACTAAATCCCGAAGAATCCTATCTAATGGTACTTTTGTAATTATTTATTTTTAATATATTTTGTCTACTAATTTTTTAACTATAATTTTCAACAATTATCAATCTCCTATTTTTCATCAATATATCTCAAAATCTTAAGAGATAAAGATAGAAATTTGGTTCGTTATTAATCTATATATTTGGATTATAAATTTTAATATGTCAGAATTAAAAACCCTAATGTGATATAAAATATGAATAATACTACATTATAAAATTTTACTATGTTAGTATACTATATTTTATTATTATGAATTAAATTGATTATTTTTTTTCACTTTTGAAATAATATCCCGTGCATTGCACGGGGAAAAAATGCTAGTATTTGATTAAAGGAGCTAACACTGCTGAAAAAATCATGTCACAATAACCTCTGATAAGTTGAGATACGATTTAGAGTTGTAGAGTAATTTAAAAAAAAAACGGAAGAGTGATTGCAGATTAATAAAAATTTAGCAAGTATATATTCACGCGCCCCTAAGCCCATCTCAGTTAGTTACTCAATGCTGCAATTAATGCTAGTAAGGATCAATTAGCAATTCATGACTAAGTATATGCATACCACGTTATTTCGGAATGTAATAATAAAGGACAACGGTTGTTTTAGGACAAGTACCTTATCAGCATTCACAGGCACCTCATCAACAGTAGTTGGAACTGCTTCCCGATTGCCGAGACAGTAGAAATTCAAGTAGTCTTGTGGATGTGTATCCAAAAGCCCCATAGATTTGATCTCTTTGGCAATAAATTGATACATCATCTCCATCGTTTGGGCCTAGCAGAAAAGACGTATGTATAACTATTTATTATCAAGTATTTTATCATATGACACCAAATATATCATCAAATATTTACCTGCCAAAAGAGAATTTCTTGCACAACATTGTCTTTGGGATTGCCCTCGGGCCACATTGGTATAACAACATACACGGCAAATCTCTCGTTAGCTCTTATCTTACTAGCAATTTTCATTGCCAACTCCATAGGGATTAGATGATCAGCCCCTGCCATTTTGAGAAACGAGTGACTCAATCTCCAACACCATTTAATAGGGAAATACCATTTACATGTTGGCAATAAAGCATTTAAAAAGATTGGCAATGAAGTACAGCAGAATTTTTTAATATAAAGCACAAACTGCAAAGTCAACGTAACGGTAATTTCGAACTAGAATGAAAATTAATGAAACAAACAACAAGAAAATGTAATATTTTTACCAGCATCTTTGTACGAAGGCCAAGCGTATGAAGAGCCAAGAAAGTACTGATTTTCAATATAGATAAAATTCTGAGCAGATCTTATTGCTTGAATGTATGCTGTTTGAATGCTTCCGTCTATTACCAGATCTTTGGAGCATACGAGGTTCTGGAATAAAACAGCACTAAAGACATTAGCATATGAAAAAAGGATAACCGAAGATGATTGCTCTGCTGGCAGTTTCAGTAGTGTATGTACATGGATACGGAACGACAAAAGGGATTTAAGAGTGTTCTTGTTCAATACCTGTGCCTGAGCTTCATCATAGAATTTTGGGAAACCTCTGACTGACCCTGAATCGATGGACCTGAAGATCTATAGAAGCAAAGCAATATATATATATTATAGTCTCGAAATTATACGAAATAAGATACACAGTTGGCATTCCTTCAAGAAATGGACTTTTAAGTTCTAACCTGCACATGCCAATTTTCTGGGTGTTCTTCCTTAGACACATATAGCTTAGGATCGTCCTCCGGGCAAGCTTTGTATGTTCCGTCTTTGGAAAGAGCAATGGCAGGACTCAGTATCCATGATATTCGCTCGACTTTTAGCATAGCGTCGTCGTGCCAGTGAGACATTCTTTTCTTAATAAAACTAAATTCTCTCCACTTGGTTGTTTTCCGCCAACGTTGAGCAAAGTTTATAAGAACGTCATAGGCAGCAGGTCCGTCGACTCTGCTGTGCAAATCATGCCATGGCTGCCTGGGAGCTTTTATACCTTCCTGTCATGGGTAATTGATCAGCAAAAACCGCATGAAATTAATTAAAAAAACATCACATCCCATTCAAAATATAACAACATATTAAAGAAGTTTGAGTCCAGATCATCTCATAAATGAGGAAAGATCCCTATTCGATGAGCGAAAACCATATGAAATTCAAATTATTTCATACCAACAACATAGTGTTTCAGCAAATACTCTTAGGCTCCATTTGGATGCAAGAATTTGGAGAATGGAATTCAAATCCATAATAACAAATCCCTTTCACATGTTCAGATAGAGGGATTTAATGATGGATATCAAATCATCACCCCTCCTTTTTAGTTACAAATTGAGCCATTAAGGTTGATTTCAAATGACTCCAATTTCGAGTCATATGAAATCCTTCCTCCAAATCCCTTCCCCAAATCAAATCCTTACGAAAAAAAACTTCACATCCTCGTTCAGAATATAACAGAACAGTTACAAAAAAACTAAGAATTTTGAGCCCAAATCATCACATAAATGAGAGAAAAATCCTTATATTCTCATTTCTTTTTAAGGAAAAACATCTTGTTTTGGGCGTAATCATGACATGGTAACACGTATTAACTATCAATGATGTTCTTAGTTTCTTCTCAATCATTCCCCTTGTCCAAATCATGATACATCAATTAAAGGGAAAACACATTTAGCAAAAACGAATGCAATCAATGTATGAACCACTCACCGCATATGTAGGCTGATGAATGTCATTCTTAAAAACAGTATCTAGATCACAGAATAGTCGATGCTCAGGCGTATCATAACGGCCATCACACAGATCAATACCACCTAAAAAGGCAGTAATTTTTCGATTATTGCCATGTGCTTGTGTGTCAACAAGAACGCATTTCTGATGGTGTGTAAAGAGATTCCCAACAACCTGAAGGCAGTACAGTAAGCAAGTCAACAAATATCGATGATCATGCGAAATTAAAATACGTTACCTGTATTTGATGAACTTAAAACACATTAAAGACTCGTAAAAAAAATTTCCAATCAACAAACAGATGCAACTAAACTCTACCTGTTGTTTCATATAGCTAAGTTTGCTGCTCCCGTAACGGGGAGACAAAACACATATCACAGACGAATGCCGGAAAAACTTCTTGGTCTCCTCGTCATGTGTTCTCATGACTCCAGCCTGCATTTAAAACCATACATCAATAACGCAAGTGCCTACAGTTCTATTATGACTACCAATACTACAAGGTTACAAGACCAGAAAGTATAGAACAGTTAGTCAAATAATCAAAGAATTATAAGATCAGCTATCGTCAGTATTGACAAGTCATGTATTATTATCGAGCAAGAATTTCATAGTGCATCATTTACTTGGTTGGGCTATTTGAACTACCGAAAGAAGTTATTTTACATTGCACACTTGCAACAATCCCGTCGTAACAATTTCAACAACAGAAAGTTTCTAGTTTCATGTCAATTCAAGTAAACAGTTCGTTCAGCAATGCAACTATTTTATTATCTTACGATACAAAGGAACTCTTAGGTATTCCAATTGGTCATCTGTTAATCAGTCCAGGCTTACAAATTGACAACTAAGGCCTCGTTTGGTTGCCAAGATAAGATTAGCCAGGATAAGACTAAATAATCTAATGAAACCCAATTGTTTTATTGGAGCTTGGAAGGTCCAACAAAAAAACATGCTTAGAAGGCAAGCCATGATAACATAATATTTGCGGGTCGACCCGGTAAGTTATTGGGATACCAAACATCAAACAAAGTCATACTATTTAGTTAATCATGGCTAATCTTCCCAACCAAATGAGGCCTAAGAAGAAAAGAACAGTACAGCCGCTATCTTTCCAATTATCACTTCATTCAGCAAAATCTTAATATTTCCACTGTTTAACGTTCTGTAATCAATTTAGATTTAGAGTAACTAAAGGCTCTATTGATAATCTTTTATTTTCTTACTGCCGTTCAAAAACATTCTTGTTACAGATTAATGGTGTCGTGAGCTTATGACATGTTATTGCCTATCGGAGAATATGCTTAGTTCCAGCCATTAAAAAAATAACTATAAATAGCACGACATGAAAAAAATAAACTATAACTAACCATCCCGAATTCGTATTCCAAATAGCAAAACAATTCAATATATCATCAAGATGTACAATACATACATACCGTGTTAATAAACAATTTATCGTGTGAGGTCTTGTCGTCCCAAACCAATAGCAGAACTCGAACCCCTTCCTGCGACTTATACTTGAGTAATTCACCGAGCGTCAAGTCTCCCCCTCGGGGCAAAGGTCTAGTCGGTTCCCTAATCAACCTAACCTTATCGAAAACGGACCACCCGACAATGTATATCAAATGATGCGCCTCTGCTATGGCGTGGCATATATCCTCCCAACACGTGGCGTGCTCTCGCACTAACCCGTCATCCAGCTCGATTTTCGGTAATTTATCGTCGTTCTTGACATGGGCGTCCTGGTACAGAGTTACGGAGCTCCCTTTCCGGAGGGGGCAATACGTGTTCCTAACCCCTCTGTGTAAGGGATCGCCGGCAATGCCGTGTTTGTACAGCGGGTTTTCGTCGCACGGGGTGAATTTCATCTGGAGACGAAGCGCTGTGTGGGGTTTCGGCGGCTTGCCGGTGGAGGAAATGACCGAGAACCAGCCGGAGATTTCGTCGCCGGAGGCGATTTTGGCAGCTGAAATCAAGACCTTACCGATGGTGTCGGCGCCGAACATGTCGTTGTCCTTGATGCGGATGTCCAAGCAGGACAAGGGGTGGGCTAAGGGGATATGGAACCGCTCGTTCCACTTGGGGTTTTGGGAGTTGGAGAGCACGCGCGTGCGGGCGAGTGTGGCCTGGGGAGCGGAGACCGTGACGTAAGGGTCGCTGGTGATGATCTTGCGGTGGTGGTGGAGCTTCCTGTCGTGCTGGCTTCTTCTGCCGCTGCCGCGCTCGCTCGCATCACCGTCGCCGACGGCGACGCCGTCGCCGTCGGCGGTGCGGCAGACGGTTAGACAGCGGCGGAGGCGCTCGGTGACGAGGTCCATGTTTGGGAGGCCACGCGCCTCGAAGATGTGCAGCTCCAAGTCTCCATGTAGGTAAATCACTGGCTCGTCTTCGGCCATGGGTGTATTTGCTGCTCTAATTGCCGATTGGGAGTACAATTTCCGATGATGATTTTACTGTATTAATAGTAGAGAGAGAGAAGGTCAGAAAAAATGGCGTCGGCTAGAGAGAGAAAGCCGGGAAAAACGGCGTCGGCTAGAGAGAGAAAGCCGGGAGAAATGGCGTCGGCTGCAAAAAGTAGCTATAGCGGGGGTGGGGGGCAGTGTAGAATTGAAGGAAAGGATATTTAGTTCTAGTGAGAGAAACAAATAATTCATAATTCATAGAGAGAGAGAAAATGGGGACAAGTTTTGGGATCGTGGCACCCCACGTCAAGTTGGGTGGAAGAGTTGGGGGTAGTTGGAGATCACGTGCCTTTTCCTTATCAAAAACGAAAAGATCACGTGCACTTTACCCCGCCATTCGGGTTTCATAAATCATTGTTTATTTTTTTTCAAATATAAAGGGTTAAATAGACTTTACATCCGAAAGTACAGCTTATCTAATACTTAATTTCCATTAAGTATCATTTACATTGAAAAAAATTCTCTTTTATTGAAAAGAATAATTATGTTATATCATTACAAAAAACTTATTAAAAATGTAATATTATAAAATTTAAAAAATTTATTTGAATTACTTTGGATATATATTTAATAAATAACATTTAATTATTGTTGGACTAATTAATCGAATATATTCATATCGATATATCTTAAGAAATCAATACATAATTAATTGTGATCTTTAAGTATTTTACTTATAAAGTTCATTAATTTCTTAAAATATTTTTTTCATGCATTATTATACAATATATTATTTTCCAAAAATTTAATTTCAATTACTTTTCAATTTTATTATCCAATAATTATTAGATTGTTATGCTATTTATTCTACCAAATAAATGTAAAATTTTAAATATTGCATTGACTTTTCAGTTGATATTTTTGATAAACTATTTAAATTATTTTTCAATTACTCAATCCAATTGAGAGTGGAAATATATTAAGATTGTCATTATATTTTAAATTTTAAAATAAAAAATAATTGATGTTGAAGGGTAAGTGTTACAAATAGACTAACTATACTTCAAGGATGCAAAGTGCATTTAACCCAAGTATAAATGATGTTCCTTTGTGTTATTGGTGAAACTCACTTTATATTTTATTTCCAATTATGAAGAAAATAATATTTAATGAAAGTAGCCGTTACAAAATTATAGATCACACTAATCTAATAAATTACTAGTATGTAATTGTTATTGAAAATAGAGACACGAATTGATGATGCCTCCATAACGTGACGACTTTGTTACAAAGCTCTCTTTTAAGAGTCTATGGGCAATCTTTGATTCTGTTTTCGTTTCACTTTTATTCATTTTCAGAAATGAATTCGTACTTGTTTAGAGCATCTCCCACCCATCACCAAATTCTATAATTATCACCTAATTTAGGTGTTTTTAGTCTCCCAACCTAAATTCTCTAAATCATCATTACACCTAAAATTATAGTGATTTAGTTTAGTCTCACACCCTAGTCAAACTCTATATCACTATATCTCTAAATCATATATTTTCACCAAATTGTTTGGTGAAGAAATTTTCATCTCCCACCCGTCCCACCATTTTACCATTTTTTCCACCAAATCCTATTTTTTCTATCAAATATAGAAGTGAAAATAGGATTTGGTGTAATTAACACCATTTTATAATTAACATATACAATTATTATATTAACTAATTTCATGTGATTACCAACTTATAAATATATTTATAATAAATATATTAGTGTTAATTAGTGAATTAGTTTTCAAAATTTAAAATATATTATTATTATTATTATTATTATTATTATTATTATTATTATTATTATTATTATTATTATTATTATTATTATTATTATTATTATTATTATTATTATTATTATTATTATTATTATTATTATTATTATTATTATTATTATTATTATTATTATTATTATTTAACTTTTAAATAAATATAAAAATGTTTGGCCAAAATAAATAATATTTTTAAACAATAAATACATTTATTATCATAAAACAACAAAAATGGGTACTCTTATGTTGAAGATGATGACGATAATAATGGTGAATGAGACTCATCTCCTAATAAGGGGTACTCTTTCATTGTTAGGCAAAACAAGGTTTTAACGAGGCCCCTGTTATCATTGAAATAATATTTTTGGGCAAAAAAAATGTTGTAATGTTTTTATGATTAATGTATATTGCGAGGTTATTAGGAAATAATTAATGATATTATTGTTTATTCGTGGTTTTATTATATGTATAATAATCTAAGTCGATTTTCATTCATGTTTCAATAAATTTTTGATATTTATCATAATTTCTAAATTATATACTTAATAAATTAATCATTATTCATAAGCAATATTTTAGTAATAAAATAGACTAAATTTATGATTAACATTAAAATTATAATTTTGTAATATATTTGGTGAAATGCCATGGGAGACCAAACCAAATCATATTCTCTATAAATGGTAAAATGGTGAAATATTAATATTTTATTATTTGGTGTAAAATTTGATGGAATTGGTGGGAGACCAAATACACTATTTTGTCACTAAAAAAAGAGAAATTATAGAATGGTGTACTTCGGGTGGGAGATAACACCAGTGTTTCACCACCAAAAATAACAAAAATAAGGATTTTGTGAAAAAATGGTGTTAAGGGTGGGAGATGCTCTTAGCGTTTCAAAAATAATTCTTAAAACGACCTAAAAAGTTTATCTCTTCTTCAGATATGATTTGACTGCTGCAGTAGAATAATATTTTTACTAAAAAATAAATAAGCATCACTTTATTATTTCAAATTCTTCTTTTAAAATATTTTTTTTCAAAAACTTTAAACACGATTTGACTGCTACAGTATACTTTGTCTGTTCTCGAATCATTTTATTGTCTCAAAATATATTTTCCCAAAAATAAAATGAAAATAATTACCAAACCCATTTCAAATATTGCCTATAATTTCGAAAAGCTTTGATGATTAATTAATTATTTAAGAGAATATGTATCCAAGATTTTTATTTACTGTGAATTAAAATAAGATTATATTCATTGAAAAACAGAAAGTGTACAAAGATGTTATATAAACCCATGAATAAAATATTGTTGAATCCCCTCTCAAAAAAAATTAAAATAAAATAAAAAATTTGATGAGCCCCGCTGGCAAATTATCTCTGCATTTATGAATTATGAGTATGTATACGTTGGGTCCACCGTCCATGTTATATGCAAGACTGAAGACCCCTCTATTATGTGTTGATATCGACAACGCATCCATCATTTATCAAGGGCCCGTTTTAGGATATTTCGGGCCCTAGGGACAATACGAAGATTAATTTATGTTGGGTTAAATACAGTTTGCACCCCTAAAATATACCCTCTGTAACATTTACCCCCTTAAAGTATCATTTGTAACACTTACCCCCTCAAGCACAATTTAATTTGTATTTTTAAATTTTAATACCTTAAAAATTTATTTTGTTGAAAGGAATAACTAAAAGAATAATTAAATTATACAACTAAAAATATCTGTTAAAAAATACAATATTTTAAAATTTGAAACTATTATCTTGCGTTGGATATTTTTTCAATAAATAACATTTAATTGTTGTTGGACCAATTAATCAAAATACTCTATCGATAAATTTTAAGAAATCAATACATAACTAATAAAAATCTTAAGTATTTAAATTTATTTTAGTTTATTAATTATTTAAATATATTTTCATTCATTATTACCCAATATATATTACTTTTTAATTTTTTTTTCAATAATTAATTTTAGTTACTTTTCAATTTTCTATGAACCGTTAATTATTAGATTGTTATGTTTATTATTTTTTAAATTTTAAGTATAAAATAATTGATGTTGAGGGGGGTAAGTGTTACAAATGATACTTTAAGGGGGTAAGTGTTACATGAGCTATACTTCAGGGGTGCAAAGTGTATTTAGCCCATTTATGTTTTATAGATGAAATTCAAACGAGACAAAGATTAACAACAAAACCCGAACTCTTAGGCTATGTTTGGTAAGCTTTTGGGCTTCCGTTTCCATTTTATTATGGAGAAAGGTGTTTTGGGAGAAGAATTTAGAAATAAAATAAAGTTTGTTTGTGTTTTGAGATGAGACAATTTGTACTGTAGCAAGTCAAATCATGTCTGAAAGGTGTTGGGAAAATGTATTTTGGAAGAAGAATTTAAAAGATAAAGTGATTTGATTTTGTATTTTAGTGAGGACAATTTTCACTGTAGCGGTCAAATCATGTTTGTTAGAGAGAGAAATATTTGAATTTGTTTTGGGGAAATTTTTTGAAAATAATGTAGAAAGATAATTTTCATTTTGGGGAAAATGTGAAAATAATTCGAAAACGTTACCAAACATAGCCTTAGTAATTTTTCAAAGAAAAATTAAAAATAAACTTATCTAACACAAAGGCACATGATATAATTTGATTGAGTTTTCAAAAGGGTACTATGGTGGTGTTTGCAAATGATTATTTAAAAGCAGAAATTAGTGATTGTGATTTTATTTAATTTTTTCATAACAAAGGGGGATTTAGTGCATATTTTCTACAATACAAGGGGGTTTCATTCAAAAGTTAATTTATTTGTTTAGATCTCATATTAAGTTGAACACATTTGTTCAGTTACAATATGCAAAATAAAAATTTAATAGCCGTGGTGAATGTTTAAAAAAAACAATTTTTATATGATATAATTTATTAATGTATGAATTTTGATATTTTAAATTATACAATTATTTTATTAGAATTATTATATATTTTTATAATTTATTCTTGATTAATTTTACGTGAAAAGAACATGAATAATTTGAGAATTCGTTCTAACTTCCATCACGAGTATTTTTTTTTTAGTTTTCATATTTTAAATTATAAATATACTCTCGGCTTAAGCTAAGAAAATAATTTGAATTTTAAATCAAAAAAACTTGCATATAACCCCCTCTATAGTTAACGGCCTTAACTTTTAACGAAAAGGGGAATTTCGTGATACGTAAAATAAAATAAAACACAAGGACATCTTACATAAGAAAAAAACACAAGTAGATTTGGCACAAGTTTCCTTACATTAGGGGTTTTTATGCTGTTTACCCGATTTAAGCGCGCCCTAAATACAAATAGGCTAAAAATTTCCTCATCTGCGACTCAATTGACAATTCCAATCATGGCGGACGAAAACTCGGATGACCATCACCGAGATTCCGCTGCCCTGCACTCCGCCGGCGCCGATACAGACGGCGGCGAAAAATGCGACGATATTTCCAATTTAATCACTGCAACTAGTTCAAATTCGTCGGTGGCGGAGGGTTTGTACTCTTTGATTTCGTCAGTCATGACGGATTTCGACTCTAGAGCCGAAGCCACCGCTAGCAGCCAGGACCAACTCGCTTTCTCTCTCGATCGTCTCACCGGCGGTACTCTTACCACTCTCGAATATTCTTCCCTTTTTTTATTTTATTTTTTTATTCATTTAATTTTCTCTCTACTTTAATAGTGTCAATTTTAGATTTGTGTACAGATATAGAATTCACTCTTGTTGGGGGATAGCATTTTGAGAGAATTTACAGAAAAATTCACCATGTTTTTCAGTTGAACTAGACTTAGAGGATGTTTGGCTAAGCTTATAAGATGTTAAAAATAGCTTATAAGCTCTTACAAAGTGTTTGGTAATTTTTTTTAAAAATACCTTTTTTTTTTTAAAAATAAGCTGTTGGAGAGCAAATAAAATAATTTTCTAATAATGAATCAAAATAGCAAATAAGCTCATTATCCAAACACTCTAAAAATTAATTCTAAAAATAAGATGTAAAGCTTATCAACTCGGGAAACATCTTATCAGACGTAAGAGCTTATCAACTGTTTAAAATAAGGTTAGCCAGACGGGCCCTTAGTTATGTTGAATTAATATACACTTTTTATTCTGTAGTCATGCTTGTTGGAGGAGACAGTTTTATGGAAACCAATTTTGTTAAAATCTATTTAATTTTGCTTTATTTATAAGGCATATGCAAATGATTCCGAATTACGACGCCTTTTTATCGGATTGAATTGTTTAAATTATTTCTGATTGTGTATGAATTTGCAACTTTATTTTCAAATCTGATTGTAAATTTTCAACTTGTTATTGTACCTTGTGTATGTTTTCAGAGCTCGATAAATTGCTAGAGGATGCACCGTCGCCTTTCATTATGCAGCACGCGGCAAGGATTTCTGGTGTTAAGAAAAGGGTCAAAGCATTAAATACTGTTTTGAAGTCCGTACAACGACGTATCGACAATATGGATCGCATGCTATCAGCTGGATTAGTGTCTGGTATTTATTTTATTTTTTCCCGTTTTCTTCTTGATTTCCTCTTTTCTATACCGTCCGTGGTTGAGGCACTACCCACTCATTTTATAGACGTCTTCATTGTAGCATTCAGTTATCGAATCGGAATTCTTTGACTAACTAAAAGCTCCTCAAATTATATAATTCCCGACATATATTGTTTTTTCATATTATCAATAAAATTTGGTGTCATGTTGTTAGGACAGAAAGTCGAGACGGATCGGTTTTTGGTCTCGTCAAAAGTTAATGTGCTTTATTTAAATACTGTTTATATCCGCAACATCTCGAGCACCTCCTTCCTTTTGTTTCTAGTATTTCTTTTTTAATATTTTTTGTTTGTGGAAAAGCAATGCCATCATCAGGTGTTGTACACTGTGTTTATTTTCGTTTCTCTTCTTTTTTTGTTGTTTATTTGCACATTTTCAAAAAATGTTCTCGGATTTTCTTAATGAAGTCTCTGTACGTACAGAAACACCGGTGGGAGTGAGCAATGAGCAACAACACGCTTCATAATCGAGGTATTAGTTCTCATGTTTGTTTTATGCATGAAATAACTGTCAGGATTTTTAACATATCAGAGATGAGTGTGAGTTTTATTGGGATCCGGAAAAAACAATTGAGCACTAGAATATGTCTAAACAATCTAGTCAAATTCATCTCTAGCTTCTCTGACCTAGTTTATATTGTTTGGCTATGGTAGAAGTGTGGTTATTTCATCGTCTTAGATATTTCAGCTTCTTACGCATTTTGTATATTGCTTAATTTGCACGGCTATAGGACAAGTTTCATTCTCATGAGTATGAAGTGAGGAACTTAACATGAAGGTTTTGAGCCCGAATTTACGTAATTTTGTTTTCTGCCACAAACTCTTAAAGTACAAGTCTTTATGAGTAATATTTTGAGTATTAGTACTAAGATATCGAGATGACGCAGTATAAGGAACTTCTAGAAGCACACTAGCTTTCGAACGGATATTAGAGTCAAAACTAGTCGATATTCTGTTGGAAGTAGCATTACGTGATTACTGTGGTTTCATTCGGATTAAATACATCTTTGTTGATTTAAAAAATAATCTCGGATGCATCTGCGCACGATAATTGTGTTCTTGTTGATTATAATGTGCAGAACAGATGGTTTTGTTTGTATACTCTGATGGGACTTTACTTGCCGGATATATAATGTAGCAACAGGTTGATGCATCACATAGCCAGCAGCAGTTGTGACAGATAGACTGCAAGGATTTTATGTTCAGCCGAGAACTAACGAATGTGACGTGACTAATTCTAACAAGTTTTAAACGCAAAAATGGTGACTGGATTTATACGGCAGAAGGCCCCTGTTCAAATTGTTTTTATTTAGCTATTTTATTTGTGAAAAAAGGAGGGCGATTTCGACAACTTCATATAATTGTTCATATTGGTTTTATGATTTGTGTGATGAAGGCCCAGAATTCCGGCCACTAGCCCTTTAAATATTTATCCCCTTCACCGTAAACTAGCAAACTTCTTGTGCACACGATCCATTTATCTTACCAAGTTAATTATATCATTTAACGTAAAATAGCAATCTGTGTAAATAATTCAATATGAATTGCATTTGTTTCCGGAAAATAATACGAAATATAAAACCACGAGAAATCGACTGAGTCTTGCAATTGCAATGTTCAAAACAAAATTAAACACAGAACTGGTCAGGCTCTATTTCTATTTATCGACTTGAAATATCGTTTCAGAAGGGGATATATGGGTTGGAATAAAACACACGATCAAAGCAAACAAAACAATCTCATTTGCAACACAACACGTCTGTTGTTTTATAAGAGATTTTCATTGATTTGATTTAGTTGGCATAAATAATATAGTAAACTTGGGCCACTTAATTAATATATTATATGGGTTGGATCTCTTTAATAATTTATTGGGGCTATATGCCAACCACCCTTTATTGGACTTTTAATTCTTAATAAATATTTTATTTATAAATGAATTTGAGATAAATTCAATGGGTCTGAAAAACCTTATATGCCCCCACTAATTATTAATTAGTATAATTTTTTAATTTAAAAAAATTATATCTACACCTAAATCTTCTCCAAAAATTATTCCTCATCACGCCAATTCAATTTTGTTTTCCTTTTCTTTTTTATTTTGTTTAATAGTTTTCTTTATTTCGATTTAAAAGAAAATTTTGTAATTATTTTATTTTTATTTTTATTTTATTTTCGGTTATTTATTTTAAATTATTTTTTTGCTTATTTATATTTTTCATGTTTTTTTATTTTAATTTAAAAAATGGTTATATTTTTATTTTCGTTTTTTCATTATTTTTCTTTTTCTTAATTTCAAATTTTTTTAAAATGGTTTTTTTTTTTAATTTTCTTTCCAATTTTTTTAAATAAAAATCACTCTAAATATGAAAACCACTCTGTATAAACAACTATATAAACATGAAAACGACTCGGTATAACAACTATATAACATGAAAACCACTCTGTATAACAACTATGTAAACTTGAAACCACTCTGTATAACAACTATGTCAACATAAAAACCACTATGTACATACAGTTATATAAAAATATGTACAACAATTATTGAAAACCACTATAATTTTTGTACAAATTTTTAGAGTGGTTTATGTAAAATATTGAAAACCACTATGATGCTGCTCCAAAATGTTGGGTCAACCCAATGATCTTGAAGCCCACAGGTCTTCTAAATCCGGGAATCTTCAAGCCCAATATCGGGAATGCCGAGAGTCCTTGCCACGCGTCCGAGGTAGTTGAAGGGATCGCTCCACTCATTAACCTGGGATCGCTCCACTCATTAACCTACAAAAAAGTTGAAAACACTAGATGACACGCCGGGGGTGGCCCGACGATTGTCCTCCAATGCTCAAGTCAGAAAACTATCACAATATAAACAATTAATGTTAATTAATTGCCTAAATAGTGCGTACCTTGTTATGTGATTGATAACACATATTTATAGGTGGAGTTTGGTAAAACTTTCTTGTAGAAAACCAGTGTGTGATAGAAAACATTAGATATCTTCCCATAAGCTTCTTATGAAGTTCTTAATTAAGGGCATTTGTGTTGGATTTTTTCTTTGAATGAGCCTCTTGGGCTTTTTGGGTTAAAGCCCAATTAGGCACATCACACTATAAAAATTTGTACATAATTATTGAAAACCACTATAAAAAATCTGTAAATAATTATTGAAAACCACTCCACCTTTCTAGTCACAAATTATTTGAAAACCACTATATGACAAGCATATGTGAACAAGCATACTCCAAAATTCATTATAGAAAAAAAAAACCAGTTAAGGAAAGATAATCAAGAGTTGAAGATTAAGGAAATCATAACTTATGAAGTGATACCAAAGGAATCGAATATTTTTTTAGTGGGCAAAAAGAACCAATTTGAGTTTGATGATATTATTAGAATTATGGAAGCAAACAGTAACTTTACTGTGTTCCATTCTCAATAGCCTTTAATATCGGGGAGAAAATAAGGAGATCAAAATTACAAAAAAATATACTATAGACCGAGAGAATCAACATCTTACATGTCAATCTCTCCCGCCGCACGACCTTCACAACCCCGAAATCAAGCAGCCCGTCATCCGCACCACCACCTACCACGATTCCTCCTCCGACCGCCGCAATTATTTCTGATGCAAGGCCTCCGTCGTCATGGGGTGCTAACAAACGGCGGCGTCCGCCTGCTAAGGACATGAACCGAAGAAAAAGAAGGCAACAATATGTAAATTCAATTCATTAAAAAAAAATTGATCTCCAAAGCAGGAATTTGAAATCCACTACATCGGATCGCTACCCACTACAAAAATATCAAAATCCACTAAAATATTAATATAATCCAATAGGAAAAACAATTACAAGAATTACGTAAATAGAAAAAAAACAACTACATTGCCCACATTCACCACTATACAACCACGCATCCACCCACATTCACTCAATGCGCACACAAAGTATAATTTACACATCCAACAGATCTTAGTCTCTCACTCTGTTAATAAAATTAGGAACATCTTCAATGATTTTTTAATATTCTCTTTTGCCTCAACTTTGAGAGAATGATAAAGTTTAAATCCAAGATATAAATTCAATTAAAAAATTAGCAATAATCAATTAACGTATAAAACCAAATATTCAATTATGTGTTCTGACCATCACCACCTATTTCATCGTAGAGTACCTTTCATCTCATATGAATTAAATACATTTTATTTTGTTATGGTTAGAAATGTTAGTGGCTTAGTTAGTTAGCTAGATTAGCGGATTAGTAGGTTAATTAGATTAAGTAGATTAGGGCACGTCTCATAGTGGTCTTTGTTGATAGGGCACGTTCACTTTATTTACAAGTGTTATAAATCTGATGAATAAGAAGAAATGAGGATTATTGAACGAGAATTATAATTCCTCTTATCTTCTCTCAATTCTTCTTTGTTATTTTTCTATTTATTCTTCTTTCTTTTGGGACCATATCAGTGGTATCAGAGCCGCGTTCCATGGAAACTCGAAATAAATTCAATGCCGAGTTTCGCACCGAGGTTTTCGAAATCCTTGCCAAACATGAATCGAATTTCGATCAAATACACAATACCCTTCAAATTGTCCTCAAAGAGCTTCAAGCTCTACGGGCTTCTTTCACACAACAAAAAGTCCCCGAAAATGATGTCAACCCTTTGCTGCGGGAGAAACATCACAAACAGTCAAGCAAAATACAACCGTAGCTACAACTCGCACACCTCCAACTCTTCTTCCAAATACAAACCTCAAGTTGCAATTTCCAAAGTTTACCAGCGAAGATCCAATGGGGTGGATATACAAGGCGGAACATTATTTTAAATTTCAAAATATCCCAGCGACACAACATGTTCAACTCGCTTCCTTTCATCTTGAGGGGATCGCCTTGCAGTGGCACCGGTGGTCAACAAAATTCCGAGGGCCTCTGTTGTGGGATAAGTTTTTGAAGGCTCTTTTAAGCCGCTTTGGACCGACCGACTATGAAAATCCTTCTGAAGCTCTCACACGTCTCAAACAAACTACAACTGTGGCTATGTATCAGGAGGCTTTCGAAAAATTATCCGACCAAGTGGACGGTCTTCCAGAAATTTTTTTAATTGGTTGTTTTATCGCAGGTCTTTCGGATGAGATTCGCCGTGACGTAAAAATTAAGCAACCTAAATCTCTAGTCGATACGATAGGCGTGGCACGACTTGTGGACGAAAGAAACATGCTACAACAAAAATTCTCACAACCCTTCCACTCGCAAACTACACCAACAAAGGTAGGAGTCACAACCACTTCGACGTCAGGTATTCTAGGCCCTCCGCCCACCATTTCACCGCCCACCTTCACAAGAATAACCGGACAAGCAGCACGTGAACGGAGAGAGAAAGGCTTATGCTACTATTGTGACAAAAAATTAAGCCAGGGCATTGCTGCCAACAACCTCAATTTTATATGATCGAGGATGTGCACGTGGATGATGTTCAGTCAACCAACCATCCAAGCACTCAGAATGATCCTATCCACATCAGCACACTATATCCTTGAGGACAATGATACTTTGAGCGGGTGGGAATGTTACGGTTAGAAAAGTTAGTGGCTTAGTTAGTTAGCTAGATTAGCGGATTAGTAGGTTAATTAGATTAAGTACATTAGGGCACGTCTCATAGTGGTCTTAGTTGATAGGGCACGTTCACTTTATTTATAAGTGTTATAAATCTGATGAATGAGAGGAAATGGGGATTATTGAACGAGAATTATAATTCCTCTTATCTTCTCTCAATTCTTCTTTGTTATTTTTCTATCTCTTCTTCTTTCTTTTGGGACCATATCATATTTTTCCATCCATTTTTCCGCCCAAAAAATAATATAGTAATTAGAGTATTACTGTTTTCCCTCATCTCTCTCACGATTCTCACTATCTATTCTCCAATCTCATTTTCAACCAAATAAAGAATTCCTGAATCAATTTACCTTGCCGGCCAAAGAAGGAAAGCATGGTTGAGACGATCGAAACCAGCCGTTATCGTCGCCGCGCGGAAATCCTAGCGTGCGCTTGAGCGAATCAGCCATCGTCAACAATACAACCCTAGCACCACCCTTGACGAGAGGATTCTAGGGGAGAAGATTGCCCCCAACTTCCGCCGTCGAGGAGGAAAAAAAATCGCAAATAAAAAACGAGTGAGAGAGAGATAATGTGTGGTAGGTTAAAAAAATGGAGAAAGAAAAATTGGCAGAGAAAAATTACAGGTGGAGGAGAAATAAAGAGAGAGATTGTGTGGGAGGTTAAAAAATTGAGAAGGGTATTATTGCGAATTTGTATTATTTATGATTGTTTAAAAATCTTTTGGATTTATCTTAAAAGAAGACAATAAAAATTTGGACCCATCCTAATTGTACAATGGATATGAGGGGGTGTTCGCAAATAATCCCTAATTTATTTGATTGGAGTCAAATAATTTAATGCAAGATCAAATTATAAATATTCAATGTACGAATGTTATATTACCCTTATTTGTTAAAAAAAAAATTGTTGCAATACCATAAACTAAAAAATTATAAAAAAATAACCACAAAACCACAAGACTGTATTCTCATATTCTCTATCTTACAAAACCCACAAAAACATTTCTCCCTCCTCTTCCATAAACCCAAAAAACCTCAACATTCAAGACCCTCAAAACTCAACATATACACCTTACAAAGAGGGCAAGTATATAGTCAAAAAACATCAAAATGGAAGATTCTATGGTGGAAGAAACTTAGGCGGTACGCATTTATGTGTTTTATTAGCTAGGTTATCATTTTTCAATTTTTTTCCCGCAGAGGTGATTCGACATTTACAGGTCGAATTTTGTACCCAACACTCGATATAAGCACGGTGTCGATTTTATTGCCTAATTATCGACATCTCAATGTCGAGTTGTGGGTACAAAACTCGACCTTTAGGATAATCCAACACCACCAGTCGCAGATCCAGGGGAGCCTAGTATGAACCGTAGGGCGGAGCCACAAACACAGATGTGGAATCACGATTATCAGCTACCCACTTAGTGTTTCACAATAGAGTTTCTAAAGTGTGATGGCATTAATTGTGTGGTTGGATGAATAGGTATGAACAGTTTTTCGATGTAGCTGATATCCTACCGGGTCTAAGGTCAAGTTAGTTGCGATGCATATAGAAAGGAAGAATTACACTGTCATTAGGCATACATGAAAGTTACGCTAACGAGGGAGATTTTAAGTTGGGAAAAGTATCTAAGGGCTATTAACAACATATTTGGTACTCTGTTTTTTTGGGACCCTATGTCTGAACTAATCAACTTAAAACAGACAGATTCTCTGAAAGATTACTTAGATAAATTTGATAAATTAATGAATTCTATAGATCAGTTTGAAAGTAATACATTTAGTTGTTTCCTAGGAGGATTGAAATCTGAAACTGCCTTACAAATAAGAATGTTTAAACTGATCAACCTAATAGAAGCCATTGGATTCGCCAAACTCCAAGAACAAGCCCAGAACCTAAACCACAAAATAGCCAATCTCACACCCCTCAGAGTCAATTATACCAACCACAGACCCCGCAACTTATCCATCAACATAATTCCAAATTCCCCTTCTTCCCTTCACCCTAAATCCAACCCTTCCCCCACTATAAACCCAACCAACCAGATTAATATTATTTCTAGAAAGTGGTACAACAATGATGTTGATGAGATGAGAGCCAAGGGGTTATGTTTTTGGTGTAATGATAAAACTCGAAGGGCCATAACTTCTTAAGGAAGAAGCAATTGTATGTTATGGATCTTTTGGAGGAAGACATCCATGTATGAGGCGAAGTGGAATATTCCCATAATAGAGAGTCTGAAGAGAAACAAGAATGGGAAGAAGATGAACCAACTTCTCATGTTTCTATATATGCTATGACAGGAATTCCAGATTACAGTACTATGAGGTTGATGAGATCTTAAATAGGTAAGACCATTCACATCTTGATTGACTCAGGAAACACTCATAACTTTAGGGATTTACAGGTTACTAAGACATTAGGCTGCAGGTTAAAAGAGATTAAGCCATCATCTGTAGTATCTGCAGGAGGACAAAAATTGGTGAGCCAGTACAGATATTTGAATTTTACATGAAAAATGTATGGAGTAGAATTCAATACTCATCACAGTGATGACTCTAAAATATTGGGAGATGTTAATCACAACTAATTGCAATCAAGAATGAACTTTGCTATATGGGAGGAAGGGTGATGTTGAGAAGCATCAAACATAACTACGTTAAACCTCTATAAATTGATATAGTAGGGACTAGAGAAATTCTATTAATTTAGTAAAATATTAAATTATCGAGTTGATGATTTAACATGTTTTCACCAAGTTAGGATCGAAAGAATTTATTATTTAAGCGAGTTTATTAATTTATCGAGGTTGCACTGTATGTGAAACTAGTGTCTAATACAAAATTAACCAAAATCCTACAGAAGCCTTCTCAGATTGGTTACCAATGTGTGAGCACCTTGCATGAAAAATGAAGATGAGAAGGGAATTTTGTTGCCTTAGAAGATGAGTTTGTGTATTTGGAGATCGATATACACTTTGTCCGAGACAAAGTTGCTTTGGGACACGTTCGAGTTCTTCACGTCCCATCCGCCTACCAGTTCGCTGATATCTTCACGAAAGGACTCCCTACTCAACTGTTCCAACAGTTTGTCTCCAGTCTCCACGTCCTCTCCTTTCCCGTTTCGACTGCGGGGGTGTATTAGCGTATATATATTCTATATATTACGTATACTTATTATTATTCTTATTCTTATTTTATTATAGTTACCTTGTATATAAGGTTACCTTGTGTAGTAGGTTAGGGTTTCCTACATGTAACTATATATATGATTAATATACGTAAGAGATATCATTCTCTCTTTTCTCCAAAACCTAATTCTCCTATAAAAACAAATTGAGTTGCGGCCAACCGATAGCCCATCCCTTATGGTAGACTTAATTGAGAGCATTTGTTGGGCATGTAGGTTGTGTAGTCAACTCTTAGCTTGAGGCTATACCTAACATATCTAATATATTTCTACCATATTATCAATGCAAGAACAATAATCTTGTCAGCAACTACCCACCTACATTATCCAAATTTCAGAGCCAACATTTTTAACTACACGTTAAAGTTGGCAAAAGTATCTTATGTTAAACTTATTATATAGGTGAATTATATTCATGGAGAACCTCATCGTTTGAAATATTTCTTGATGAATTAATCATATTCAAGTTTTCCAAACTACGAATATTACATTACAAGTCAACTTATTCCCACCAACATTAATTACATAGTAACTTCAAAAAAAAACATTAATTACATAGTTTTTTTCATCCTTTTGCATCATGTCTTAAAAATGGCTCTATAAATACCTCAAAATTAAAACCCAGTTTCCTTAACCATCATCAAATTAAAAAAAAAAATAATAACAATGGCAAGAACCATGTACGCTTCTTTGTTTGTGATTCTAGCTGTGATGGCCATAGTCATCACAAGCAATGTTGAGAAATGTGATGCTGCTGCAAGACGTCGTATATTACAGTTTCCTACTATACCGGCCGCTTTGCCGAAGCCAAGTTTTCCACCACTACCATCCCTTCCAACTATTCCAACCATACCTAAATTATCGATTCCTCTGTTGCCGAATTGGTTTCCGTCTAGCTTTCCGAACATCCCTTACATTCCCAGTTTCCTTGCTCCCCCACCTTCTAACTGATCATAAGTATTTTATTTTATATACCGTTGTTGTAATTTAATATTACGTGTGCCTTGCTTAGGCTTAAGTTCTTTGTCGTATTTTCGATAATGGTTTATAAAGGAGTTTGTTATCGTCTCATGTAATTTTATGTTTTCCTTAATATATATATATATATATATATATTTGTTTCCTATCCTATTATAATCCTCTACTATTTGTATATACTCTCAACACTTATTAAGTAATGACAATATCATCAGTTTCACCTTCAGCATGTAGTTTTACTGACTACTCAAATCAAAACTTACTGATAAAATTGCAACAAAAAACAATTATTGAATAGGAATCTTGATTACTACCGTGTTTGAAGTCGTGGGATATTCAGAACTTATTTGACGCCTGTTTTTTAGTAGGAATACTCAGACTCGATAAACGATAATTAATGGCGATGTATACCATTCAATCCCGTTGTCAAGTTAATTCCTCTGGCAGGAGTTTCTTCGAAACTTTTGGATCAATGTTTGCTTAAACTGACTGAAAGAGAAAAAGGGAAACCTTAGTTTTGTTGGCTTAAATCTTCAAGTTTGATTCCGGATAATCTAGCAAGCTCCGGGAACTGCTTCGTTCCACTAAAAAACTGCAATAGGAGACGAAATAACGTACTACATCAAGTTATTATACATAATATAAGGAACCAAACTATAAACATAAAACGGGATTATGGTATATTACAATTTCCAAATTCAACAAATATCAGACCTGGCCGTTTATTTCCCAGGAAGGGAAACCATCAAGATTAGCTTCAGTACAGGCTTTAGCCATTTGAGCTCCTGCTTTTACTCCGTCTGGGTAGCATTCTACATAATCCAACAGTTTCGCCGCGTCGTGTCCAAACATCTGTTTCGTTATTATTATTATTATTTATGTAATTAAAAACAAAAAACAAGTGAAAGAAAAAACAAACAGACTTTGTTTCTCCTAGATACAATCATTAACTTATTAATTAATTCTAATTTAAGTATTACTGTAGGCCTTAATTTAATCAATTCACTTCCAATGCAGATAACCAAGAACAAGCAGCCTATTAACTGGAATATAGTGGCTTGCAACAGAAAAGAACGGCAAAATTACAGATATGTATCCAACATTCAAACCTCTTTAAACCCTTACTAGAATCTATCTCAGAAGAAAATTCTAGACACATGAAAATTTGCAAGACAAAAAAAAAAAAAAAAAAAAAAAAAAAATCCGATTATCTATGTTGACAAATAATTCAAAATTAAATCTTAAATATCCTTAATCTACCAATATAATAATATCTTGTAAACATCAGAACTAGAAAGTTCTAGTCGAATAAATTTGAGGAATTCATGGCCGAAGCCAACCGAAGTACTTCAGGAAATATCTAAGAGGCATGTGTCTAGTAAACAGAATATTGAACTCTGAAGATTTCCAGCAAATTGGCAAAATGCTAATAATTACTAGAATGCCCCTAGAACCATTATAATAGTCTTAATAATGTCTTTTGTAGATCGGAAAGGAGATACCTGTTTCTGATGCACGCAATGAGAACACCAGAAGGCTCCATATAGTTTTGCACCTATTGAGTTGAGATGTCTTGCAAGAGAAAGTGCCAACGGACTGGATTCTTTCGTGATCTCAGTTTCAACATATGGCATTTCCTCCGCCAGGCTGTCGAATGTATCATAAATAATTTTATCAATAAAATCGTGTAATGTGTAATCTTGGAGCACAAGTCATAAGCAGCTTGAAATGAAGTAGTTACCTACATTCCCAATCAAAGTCATCCATAATAATATATTTAAAAATTGGCAAGCAAATGGTTCCGGCAAAAGTTAAGTTGATGAGCATATGAGAATGTCATAATTACTTATCAGCAGAATCAAGGAATCAAATTCAACTCAGTCAATTACCCTGACTCGGATCATCAAAACATTGAGTAAGATCAGTTTATCAAACAAAAATGAGGTCATTTCATGTATGTACTAGGTTACCTTGACGGGACAGGTTGCACAACAATACACGATGTGATCAAGGCAATGATAACCAAGCTAGTTACGCACTGTGAACCAAACGTTTTCTTAATCTTATCGAAACCAAAATTCTGCAAAGCAAATCCAAAAAATAATTCTTGTCATGCTATATGATGTAGAGCACTCAACAGAGTAAACGAACGACAAATAATCTGACGAGGAGAAACCTTTAGGGAGATGAAGAACAACCCATATGCAGCCATCCCGAACAGCGGAAGATGAGCACCTTACAAAAAGAAAATCCTAATGTTAATGTTAAGAAAATCCAGATATACTAGATAGATACAAGTTACAACAATTTCTCGAGGCAGTCGAAGCATTTCTTAGAATATAGATGCTTTCAGTACGAAAAAGTCAACACTTGAATTTAAATTCCCCCTTTCGCTAGTGAGGAAATAGAATCCGATACGAAACTATTCCTAGTGCACCAGCATTTGCGTATAACCGATCCATCATCGTAACTACGCTCAAGTTCGAAACCCCCAAATCAAAACCCTCATATCCAACAAAGGCAACATAAACGGTTCGTAAATGAAGTAAAAGTTAAACCTTATGCAACTACAATCAGAACAAAAAAACTAATTTGCATTCTCCATACTGAAAATTAGGTCAAGAAATACAGAGGATAAATTACTGGTAAGGATGGTGGTGGAAGAGCCCCATTCAGTGGGGAAGAAGGCATCCGAATCGGTGATGTTCAGGTAAGTCAAATACGCAGTCTCCAAAAATCCAATGCCTCCAAGAGCCGCACACCATCTGTTTGATGAAATGCTCCAATCATCTTCGCCAGGAATAACAGAGGAAGAAGACGGTGGCTGCAAAGATCGGACGGAATCTTCACATAAATTGCATTCCTCAGATTTGCAGTTCAGTTTAAGTAGTTCAAATCTTTGTCCCCAAACTCCTTTCTGTAGAATGAGAACAGATTTAATCAAACTACTGGTAGAGAAGAGGGAAATGAATATAGGCATAAACAGAGAGAGAGAGAGAGAGAGAGAGAGAGAGAGAGAGAGTAGGAACCTTGAAGTGAGAGAGAATGGGGAAGCTCGTCGGAGAATGGAGAAGAGGAGTTCGACGGCATGAAAAAGAAGAGGGTGATTTGGTGAAGAAGCTGTTCGCCATTGACGTCATTATCAGATCAGGCAGTTGGGTGTGCGTGTATTCTGCAGTAGTTGAAAGGAAACTGAAAATCGAAACCCCGTTTGTGCTTCGGCGTTGGTAGCTGCCTGCTTACACCTACACCCGGTAACACTTGATGGGACCACGTGTCCTTTTTTTTTGTTTTCTTTTTCTTTTTCTATGATACAATTTTCAGTCAAACTGCATTCAGCATTTTGTGTTCTGCATTTAGCATTTTGCGGATTTATTTGTTAATATTTTTTTATTTTCTTTTTGTTTTTTTAGTAAATCCGTTCGTTTAATTTATATAATTTTTATTAGTTTTTTTTTATTTAATTTGTTTTTTTTTATTAATTTTTTTAATATTTTTTGTTAATATTTAAAAAAAAAACTTTTAATTGTTTTTTTTAAATCAATATGTTTACTGTAGTGAAAATAACTATATGTAATAAACTATAGTAATTTGTAGTTATGTTCTTTTTTTTTTATCCCATATTTTGAGTCGATCAATTATGTATACACACGAATATTGGCTTATACTAAAGAAATTCATAAACCGCAACAATAAAAAGTCACAAATTTCAATATATATATTATAAATCACCTGAGAACAAATAAAATACAAATCGAAAATACACAAATATATGCATATGTAACAACATGTTACTATATGTAACTAGTAATGTATAGTAATGTACAATAATGTACAGTAATGTATACAGTCTGTATACAGTCTGTTGATCACTGTAACTTCAACCAAATTTCTGACACCTTCAAGGAGATGATCAATGATTTTCATTAAGCTGCAATTGCAAAATCAAAAAAAAAAAAAAAAAAAATTAGTGCAAATCAACATAAATTGAAGAAACATCAAAACACTCAAAAATCAACAAACAGTGAAACACTGAGAGATCGAGAGATAGAGAGATAGAGAGATAGAGAGGCCATAGCTGCGAAATGCTACAGATTTTAGACCAAACAGCCAATGACTCCTCACCCCAATCGTCTCCTACCAAAACCCTAGCCGCCGCTAACCACCCAAGGTTCCGCGCTCATAAATGAAAGAAATTATAGAAATAAATCTCACATATAAAAGTGAACGAAATTGCCATCAAAATATAGATCTCGACGAGAAGAATCCAACGGTAGGTAGCCCGTTAAATTCCGACTGGCGGGACACAAAATAAACCTCTGGCAAGACCCACCGGCCACCGTCGTCGAAATACGTGCAAACTGTAAACAATTGCAGAAACAGATCCAACGCTCCAAACTAAATGAAATCACCACCAAAAGAAATAGCTCGACGAGAGGAATCCAACGGTAGTTAAACCATCGAATTCCGACCACCGTAGAGTGAGAGAGAGAGAGAGAGAGAGAGAGAGAGAGTAAAAAAAATATACAATCCCGAACGGATTAGAATTTTGTTAGCGTATTTAAAAATCTGATTTGCTATGAAGGTCATTAGAGAGAGAAAAAAAAAACGGAAAAATAGGAGATGAAATAATATTAATAGTTAATATTAAAAATATTACGAATATGCCAGTGGGATTTTTTAGGTTGCCCTAACGTTTCTTATTTTTATATATAAATATTAATTATACAATAAATTGCATCTATACGAGGTATGCTAAAATAATTTTAAGGTCCATGTGGTATCGTTAATTACAATTATCACCTTAAAACATTGTTGGAAACCCTAACGGAATAATGTATTGGATAAATTATTCCGTTAGGGTTCTAACGGACTATTAGTTTCGTAGTGGAGACAACATAGAGTTATGGGGTTACATGGTTCCCCTAACATTTCTTAAATTCTTATTATTTTATATAAGATTTATAATTTTTTGTCTATAGCAGCATTAAGTCTCCGCAAAAAATAAATTTAGTGTATATCGATCCCCAAGACATAAATTATTGGCTCCATTAATTTACCCTTATTTACATATGCTACTTGATCAACTTTGACATCACAAAATGTTCACAAAAGCATATTGTATATAATGTAAATGAAACGATCATGAAGTGAGACATTTTAAATGGTTTTGTGGTCACGTGCAAATTGATTTGTATCACATACCAACATTTCATACCATTATGTATATTTCTGATGTTTTCTGTATATTGTCAATCATTTCATGTAAATTGATATTTGAATTTGCGACAATTATATATAGGTTTTTCTATATTATAATTTATGTATATATGTCTAAGTCAAAATATTCATGTTACAATAAATTAATAATATTATTGTGGTAAAAATGTCCTTAGTCAAATTAAATCAACCTAAAAAAATCTCTCTTCCAAATATTAATTAAAACATAAAATTAATTCATAAAAAAAATACTATTTATTCTACAAACTCATACTCTAAAAACGCCACCGCCGTCGCGCCACTGTCTATGACTCCGTGAAATGCAAATAGAAAACTGGCACCAATTACTCCGTGAACTGCTAATAGCAAATTGAAAATTATAATTTGTATTATATAATTGCAAACAACAAAAAATACCTATGATTTCGCCAAATGCAAGCATTAAACTAAAAAATAAAAATCCAAAATTTGCATTATTGAATTGCAAACAAAAAACTATCTATAACTTCGCCAAATGCAAACACCGAACTGAAGAGAAAAAAAAAATAGCAGAACTTGCATTATTGAATTGCAAGCAACAAACAACCTATGACTTCGCCAAATGCAAACAGCAAACTGAAAAAAATCAGCACCATTAAAAACATCAACAAAAAAATTGTTTATGGAACACGTTGCAAACAGCAAAAAAAAAATAAAAAAAAAGTGTTTGTAAAATGTAACTTAAGACATACATTGCAAATTGTAACCAGAAGAGTCGAATTTCAACACCAAACGCAATTCTTCAAACAACAAATGAAGTTAAACCAACCTACAAACGGATATTGTAACTACAAACGATGGGACAAGTTCTACATACGGAGACACTATG